TTCCACATATACGATGTTCTATTCCATCTTACGTGTACAAAGGATTATAAAAGATTGTTTATTTTTGTAATATTCTAAAAAAGGCTCCGTAAATTAGTGTTAAATGGTACCGCCTTGACCAAGATAAACAGGTCATTTTTCTCCACGCATTGTAATACAACATGTGTATGTTATATTTCTTATGGTACCGTTAATGAATGACAGGGATCTTTCCTTGTGTATAATTGTTCTTTGTGGTTTTCGCGGATCCGATGAATCGAAAAGAATCGGAGAGATTTATAAATTTATAAACGTGGATATCTGTGCCTATATCGATGTCTGCCACAAAATTATGGCTGATGGTTTTTAGTCACCCCTGGGGGATCCCCAGCGGGGACTATTCATTTTGGTTTCAGTCCCAGATTTTGACCTCTGTTGCCGATCACTGTTTTCGGCTTTCGTTTGCTTCTGTCGCTAATTACAAGCTTTTGGATAACTCAGATATCGATTTAGGAATAGATCTAACATACAACCAAAACGCGCTCCGAATTTCAAACTGAATATGTTCAGAATATGAATCAGTCACCTTTGAGGTTCCCGAAGGGGTAGACTGTTATATTATATATTGCTATTGATTGATTGAGATTTTTATGTCTGACCAACGACTATATTGGTAAAATTTCTTTTTAAACCAATATAAATTTTGTAATAAAAAGTTCAGGTAGAAAAGCTCAATAACGTCTCTTTTCTTTTATCATCTATTCACGCAGTGACACAAGAAAACGTCACCTAGCAAAAGGGCAAACTTGATTTGACATGCCGGGTTTGTGCTTGCCGCCGGCACACTACATTCAAGCATACGTGCAATTTGGCGGACTAAAATAACATTTTGTATCGCTTTGCATTTCTCTGCAGTCCGGCGTAACTTCTAATCGAACGGCAGGCGCCGAACATGCGGTACTTAAGGGACATACGTAATCAGTAGGTAGGTGCCGCCTTCCCAGCGGTAACCGGCACGCCTGAATCAAGTTCGTCCATAGTAAAAAGTTAACGACATTTATGGAAATTGCTTAAGGTTTTTTAATTTACATACCATTTTCAGCCGTCAGATTATAATTTCAAAGGGTGATATGTTATAAATAAATGCGCCACCATTCAAACAAATATTTCATCAACATTCATATCCCGTATGATAACGTTTACAACTTTGGAACACTTTACGACATAACACTTAACGGCAGAACTTGAAATGGAAAACCGGAAGAGTGGATGGTCATGTAAGGTAAGTAGTTCATTGCCATATTCAGAATTTATAATAAAAGCGCTCGATGGTGGCAGCGGTGACCACGAGGTACCGACAAAACAATACCATGTTTTGCCGGTACAGTTCTTCGTGGTCACCACGTGGCGATACTGTACCGGCAGGACACGGCATTGTCATATTTATGTATATCGCTATTGCCAATAATATTCCTGTCAGTGTCCTGTCAAAACGTAAGGACAAATGTGTTTAACAGCACTGTTGTGCATGTTCATATTTCTTTTCTATGAAATTAACCAACAAAGATCCAGTCTAATTTAAGGATGTAAACAAAATTGAGAGTATTGCGGTATTTGCAGCTCTTTCTGCAAATCATGGCTCCTTTCATAATATTTCCTAAGATCACTGATCGTTCTATCTGTAACATCAAACATTTCTCTTTAGTTTCTCCATTTCCCCCTGCAGGTTGAAGGTACATGTTCCGTAGGTGTAACAATACGGGTTGAGCACAGGGACTTGTATAGACTTATATGATACATATTAGCTAGAAATACGTATATATATAGGTATTTCTAGCTAATTTTATCATATAAGTCTATACAAGCCCCTGTTGGTTGAGCTAACCAGAATATATTACAATACAGAAGGAAAATATTGCGATAGTGTCGCAATATAATTTCATAGGAAAAATGGGTTTTTTTCTGATAATTGGGCTTAATGGGTGTCAAAATGCTTTCATTAAATCTGAGATCCTTTGTGTGATACATTTGTATTGAATTGTATGCTAGTAATAGCCTGGATTATGGTTATTAGCATAATTATTTGACTGTTAGAACATGTTGCGATTCAGCAATATTTTATTATCGGCTTCGCATTGTGATAGATACATGTACGATATGGCCTGTGTATTGCGATATACTGGTTTTCCGATACATTGTTACACCCCTATAGTCTATACATGCTTTAATAAACCATGATCACACTAAATATCCCAATTAAACATTGTAAGAAAACTGATATTTTATCATTTCCAGAATACACAAACTAAAATGGAAGGAAGTACTTTAACAGCTGCAGTAATACACTGTAAGTCACTACAATTAGTTGGTTTAATTTCTAAACTTCATGTCAGTGGACTTGTTTCAGGTATGGATTCATTTTGGGCAAGATAAAAAGTGTATTAAGCAAAACTGCATATTTATGCGTGTTTTTTAATCAGTGATTAATTCTTATGTCTTCCGGACGAACTTCCGGTAATTTTTGTGTCAGTTTACAGACGATGACCCAACCTAATGAGATATAGCTTGATAAAATGGCTGCGCGGAAATATATAACGCGCGGAAACCAATGACTAGACGATATTGACAGTTTTACCAACAAATTATTTTTACTGAGAATTACCAATTGATACTATGGAGTTAAATAACCACCAATACAATACCAGTACAAACTAGTGATAGGGATTGGAAATTCCTTAATTTTCAGCCTTTAGTTTTGGTGAAAATGATTTGGTCCAATATGCATGTTCAGTTTTGTTATATATTTTTTTTTCATTTTAACAGATGAAATATCTCATCCTGGCACTTTGGCATGTTTGAATGAGGAAGGCCTTGAAATTGGGATGCAGAAGGCCAGGGAATGTCACAGAAATAATAAAAAATAAATAAAAAAAATATTTGTAGTGTTTGTGTTTTATGGTCATAAGACATGGAACATTTTCTTCAAGTAAATCAACACCATGCTTTCTTTTTATATCCTAGTAGGTTGGCATGGTTACCTAAACAGTTTGTATGCATAACTAGTCATTGTTAGACCATTTTGATTGACAGGTGGAAATATGTCAGTTGTAGCTTGGTCAATGATTTATTATACTGAAAATAATAATCATACAGGAGATGGGGTGACTTTCATGTCATTTTGACATATTTCTAGTTTTTTTTATTATTTTATAACACAATTTATTCCAAATTAAATGTTATCTGGAGATAGTGATGATGTCGGTAATTGATTGTTTATAAAGAGTTTGTTTATTTACAATGTATTTTATTAATTCATTTATTTATTTCGAGCGGTGCGCAGATGTCAACAGTCTCGTAGACTAGGAGTTGTCTACATCACGTGATCGAAATGCTTATATATGTACAAAGTGACTTGTAATCCGACAACAGTATATACGGATAAACTTCCGGTGCACTATAAGATTTGTCAGTGACGAATAATGATATGTTTGTAGTACGCTGGCAGTAATTTTTAAGAGCCAGTATACTGCTTAAGTGAAGTCCCTACTTATGTCTCCTGAACAAGGCCCAACAAAAACACTTTGATATGCATTTGTGACGTATATTTACTACCGGTTGCTTTGAATGGAGGACATTAAGTGAGATTTTAACATGAGTATGTGGCTTTTATCTACTTATGAAAAAGATTCAAACTTTGTTTTGAATTGTTCTTAATGAAACATGTCATAACGTTTGCCAAAATGTCTACTGTTAATTTTTTTTTTTTTTTGCAAAAGCTTCATTTCACGAGGAGACTCATTCGCTTTAATTAAAACCAGATAAATCTCAGTAGTAACATCAATTACAACTGTCAATATTAAGAAAGTATCCTTTTAATGGCTTATTCGAGTGTTATCGAATAAAACCTGCCGATATAGTTGATGGAATTAATTCACATAAAGTTAAAGTGGTTTTCAGTTATCGTTATATTGAGTATATTAACACAAATCTGGTTTTACATTTAGGACCATTAAAAAAAGTAATCATATTTTACTCATTTAACTATGACCGCGTGGGACTTTCTCTGTTGTATATGTATACCGTTATTCGGTCTTTGCGTATTGCAGAGTTATCTTCTCTTGGGAGCAGGTATTTATTGTTACGTCATTGGTTTGTGAGAGTAACGTCATTTTGAGAAAACGACTTAATTTTCTCCCACAAACCAATGACGTAACAATCAATACCTGCTCCCAAGAGAAGATAACTCTGCAAACCGCAAAAACGGAATAAAGGTCTGCAGTGCATATGTGACCAAAACGACTGTATGCATTTGAATGTATAATGAATGACTTTAAAAATTAAAATTACTTCGGAGTCATGGGGGACACCTAATAATGTTAAAACTCAAAATGTTTGCAGACTTAAACACCTTATCCACTTATATAAGTGATCTTTTCTTGTGGAAACTGCTTATTTAAACACTGTTAAACTGTATAACGGGTTAAGCGCTTAAAAACACGAACTAATATCCATACCAGACTTAAATGTGAACTACAGCTATAGGAATGAAATGCCCGATTCCGAAAACAAATAAATAAATGGAAAAAAAAAATATAAAGAAACTGGTTGGGGGGGTGGGGGGACGTTTCTCGTTGATTTATAAAGACGGTGATAACTTCATGTTTTCTGAAATGCATTAAGATCTACATCTACAAATGTATGATATTACCGAAAGTTAGATTTTCACACGCGAACATACGACGGGTAAACGTTCTGGTTAACTTTTCCTGTGTTGGAGGGGAGACAACTCGCAATAAGTGTGCCTACTTTAACCAGAATACCAACATTTAATGTAGATATAACCATTTTAGGGCTGAACAAAGTGTTTTCTTAGTATACTATTTAATCGAAGTACATACTACACATGATGGTTTCTGTATGGACTGATGTATATATTTAAACCCAAAATGTGTTTGCCTTAAGTGTCGTTTCCCCAACCCCTTCACTACATCCTGTTTCCGTCTCTATACACAAAGTCCTTGTATGTCACACAGAGGGTACATCAGACAGATATATATAGTGTGTAGATTTCAGATGAGGAAAGTTATTGCTACATTGCAACGATGTGAGTCATACAATTTGTTGACATTTTGTGTGATGTAGAATATATCAAACAAAGAAAAGGGCGGATTTAACAAGCAGACATGTTGGGAAGGTAACCGTATAATCTCGTATAACGAAGGATTATGAATTCATGTGCTAAACTCTGTCATTGTATGTATTGATATTCTCTCTTTATCTTATGTGTACTTGAGTATTTGCCCCTGCAAAATACGGAGAAAGCATAATATGTTGATGTAACGTTACGATTGATTCAGAGAAAAAAAATGAGAGTAACCTGATTTTGTTTTAAACCTTCTCATAATGTATCTATATAACCTATTCAAAAAATGTTTGCTCCTTTTGTTTTTGAAATATTTCATATGCAAAACTATGTAAATATATATTAACAGTATCTCTTTATCTAACGTGTACTTGGGTATTTGCTCCCTGCGGAATAAGGAGAAAACTTTATATGCTAATGTAGCGTTACCATTTTACGGATTTCTGAACATCTCTTGCGAGAGAGCTGATTTCGTTTTAAAACCTGCTCATAATACATCTAAAACATCTAAGCCGTTCTTGTTCCTTTTCTTAAACGTCACTGAAGACCAGTTGAGCGTATATATGAACAGGGGCCNGAATAGTATCTCTTTATCTAACGTGTACTTGGGTATTTGCTTCCTGCGGATGTAGCGTTACCATTTTACGGATTTGTGAACATCTCTTGCGAGTGAGCTGATTTCGTTTTAAAACCTTCTCATAATACATCTAAAACACCTAAGCCGTTCTTGTTCCTTTTGTTAAACGTCACTGAAGACCAGTAGAGCGTAAATATGAACAGGGTCCGCAGTGGCCAAGTGGTTATTGTGTCTGACATTCTGCTATCACTAGCCCCCCCAGCACTGGGTTGCGGGTTCGAGGGCTGGTGATTTTTGGTTGTTGTTGTTGTTGTTGGGGGGGGGGGGGGAACTTTTTTGAATACTTTTTTGGTTGGGTATTCTTTATATGCATATAATTAATGCCCTTAATCGATATACATCATCTAATATCTTTTTGCAAACAATTCTGTAAAATGGTGTATGTTGCTGTTTTTTAGATTATGATATTATGAAGGTTTATTTTATTAATATAGTTATTTCGTCCTCGTGACGGTTATGACATGGACGATAGCGATGGCGACAATAGACAACAGTGATGGTAAGTTTCCTTATAGATGTAATATGTATTCATCGATCTCACCTTGTAACTCAAAATAAGGCATGACTCAGTAGGTTTTTTTTTAATACAGTCCAGGTTTTAGAAGAATATTGTGTAACAGGAGAGAAAAATGCACGACCAGACCGGGGTTCGAACCCTGGACCTTCCGAACTCTAGACGGACAATCTACCAATTGAGCTACCTGGTCGCCGACGATCGACCCAGTCTAGTTCCGTTACATTCCTCCCTCCTTTTTCTAACTCTTCGCTCCCGAAAACACAACTATTTACAACCCAGGTTCGGGTAGCCCTTTAACAAGCATACAAGGGTTTGGCATAGGCATCACTGTAACAGGAGAGGAAATATGCACGATCAGTCCGGGGTTCGAACCCGTGACCCTCCGAACTCTAGACGGACAATCTACCAATTGAGCTACCTGGTCGCCGACGATCGATCCAGTCCAGTTCCACTACAATTGTAATAATAACTTTAGTTCTTTTATAACGATCATGAAACAAGTTATATGAACTTATATTAACCACTTGTGTTGGTATGGAGGGTAGCCCGCAGTGGGTTTTAATGTGGGAGGAAACCGGAGTACCCAGAGAAAACCGACGTGGTTGGACAGGCGACTCCATACCTTTACACGTCTGATCGGGAACTATAACCTTGGCCGTTTTGGTAAAAAGGCGATTGCGCTATCCACTGTGCCAACTGAACACTTGCGTATATTGTAAATTAAGAAAATATAAAATAATGAGTAATCAATACAACAATATTGATGACGGATATATAGGTTTGAAATGTTCGTCGATGTCCTTTTCGCTATATTCTACATGTGATTCGGAACACTAAGTCATTTTTTTATATGCTTTCATGCTTATGTCTTCCATTGATGCTTTAATGTTAATGTCTACCATTGATGCTTTTATGCTTATGTCTACCATTGATGCGGTATGCTTATGTCTACCATTGATGCGGTATGCTTATGTCTACCATTGATGCGGTATGCTTATGTCTCCCATTGATCCGGTATGCTTATGTCTCCCATTGATGCTTTATGCTTCATGCTTTTGTCTACTGTTTATGCTTATGTCTACCACTAATGCGTTTTTGCTCATGTCTACCATTGATGTGGTATGCTTATGTCTACCATTGATGTGGTATGATTATGTCTACCATTGATGAGGTATGCTTATGTCTCCTATTGATGAGGTATGCTTATGTCTCCCATTGATGATTATGTCTACCATTGATGCTTGTATGCTTTTGTCTACCATTGATACGTTTATGCTTATGTCTACCATTGATGCTGTTATGATTATGTCTACTATTGGTGCTTTATGCTTATGCCTTCCGTTAATGCTTTATGGTTTTGTCTACCATTAATGCTTTTTATGCTTATGTCTACCATTAATGCATTTATGCTTATGTCTACCATTGATGCTGTATGCTTATGTCTACCATTGATGCTTGGCTGCTTATGTCTTCCGTTGATGCTTTATGCTTTTGTCTACCATTGATGCGTTTGTGCTTATGTCTACCATTAATACTTTTATGATTATGTCTACTATTGGTGCTTTATACTTTATGCTTTATGCTTTTATGATTATGTCTACTATTGGGGCTTTATGCTTTTGTCCTCCGTTAATGCTTTATGATTTTGTCTACCATTAATGATTTTATGCTTATGTCTACCATTGATGCATTACGCTTATGTCTACCATTGATGCGGTATGCTTATGTCTCTCATTGATCCGGTATGCTTATGTCTACAATTGATGCTTTATGCTTCATGCTTTTGTCTACCGTTTATGCTTATGTCTACCATTGATGCTTTTATGATTATGTCTACCATTGATACTTTATGATTATGTCTACCATTGATGCGTGTATGCTTATGTCGACCATTGATGCGTCTATGCTTTTGTCTACCGTTAATGCTTTTATGATTAAGTCTACTATTGGTGCTTTATGCTTATGTTTTCCGTTAATGCTTTATGCTTTTGTCTACCATTGATGCATTTATGCTTATGTCTACCATTAATGCTTTTATGATTATGTCTACTATTGGTGCTTTATGCTTATGTCTTCCGTTAATGCTTTATGCTTTTGTCTACCATTAATGCTTTTATGCTTATGTCTACCATTGATGCGTTTATGCTTATGTCTACCATTGATGATGTATGCTTATGTCTACCATTGATGCCTGGCTGATTATGTCTACCATTGATGCTTTCTGCTTATGTCTACCATTGATGTTGTATGCTTATGTCTTCCGTTGATGCTTTATGCTTTTGCCTACCATTGATGCGTTTGTGCTTATGTATACCATTAATGTTTTTATGATTATGTCTACTATTGGTGCTTTATGCTTATGTCTACCATTGATGCTTTATGCTTTATGCTTTTATGATTATGTCTACTATTGGGGCTTTATGCTTTTGTCCTCCGTTAATGCTTTATGCTTTTGTCTACCATTAATGATTTTATGCTGATGTCTACCATTGGTGCTTGATGCTTATGTCTACCATTGATGGTTGTATGCTTATATAAACCATTGATGCTTTTATGCCTGTTTTCTGTTTTACCATAATTCTCAACATGTGCTTTAAAGGAATTTCTGCAGTTTAATAAAGCATAAAAGACAAAACAAGTTGAGATTGCGATCCATCCTCACACGGAGCAGAAAACGTTCTTCAGAATTTGTTGGTCATATTTATCTACATCACGTGACAAATATTTGGATGTACATGTACCCTTATAAGTCTCATATGCAAAAAACTCCATTCATATAGACGGATTGGAAAAAAAATAGAGGAAAATGTTTTAGTAACATTACTTTTGAAGTGTTACTGCTAATAGATAACGGTTTACAACACTTTTCTAATATCTATACTATTTTGTGTTACTAAACGTTCTATTTTGGTATTTTATATAGTGACAATTATCAGTGCGAAAATTACTGCAGAGGTGCGGTTTGACTGCAGTCGACGGAGCGACAACGAGGTGAGACCCCGGGATACACAATAAACGATGCGTCACGTTGTTATGTGTTGTCACATGATACACAATAAATGATGCATCTGTCATGTGATGCTTGTTTCTTTTTTGGTTAAAGCTGGATTTCTCTAAGTTGCATCGTCACATCTGTTAGAAATTCTGCTTAATTTAATAACAATTTTGATTACGATAAAATCGAATATATTTTAAATTCTAAATATGAACATTTAGTCAGGATTTAAAAAAGTATTTTGATGAAGGTCTTTGTTTGTGTGTCTTCGTAGATTCTGATGCTGTCTTTTCGTTTCTAAATTCCGATTCCGCGGGTTTTCACAGTGTTTCATTGTATATATGTATATTAAATTGTTTCCTCTTTTTTCAGGTTATGATTTGGAAAGTCTCGACAAAATCTGGGACGAAAGTCTTCAATGTCAAGGACAAATGTGATCGCAAAGCAAATGATCCAATTGACGTGAGAAAACGGTGTATAGATGATAGATATGGTTTTGACCTTGTAATAAAAAAGATCATAGAAGATGACGAAGGCATTTATGAATGTGCTGCTGCCAGACCCACCGACGTTCTAAAAAAATACGACTTTAGAATAGAAAGTATGTTTTTATAGTTATCTAAACCGAACTTGTTAAAATTCGGATCAGTAATTCGAAACTACTTCAGTGATCATTCCAGCATTGCTTATCTTGAAAATTTTCACATAAAAATAACTTATTTAAAAATATGTTATTGTGCATAGCGTTTTAATTTATAACGAATGTGAACTCATTCTCTGTAATTTTATTGGACATTTCTCGAAACAATTGTCTTAAGAAGTGTTAAAACAGAGGGACCATTGTTAAACTTAGTCTCGTTCCCCATCGTCATGTAAGGGAGAATGAAGTTAGTTTCTTAATTAATATTGACGTGTTAATTCGGCAATGGCTCATTTCACGATTATCCTTTAATTCTTCCCATAGTTAAATATACTTATTTCAGGGGTTATTAAAATCATTCATCGACCTGTGAACAAGGTAATAATTGTATAATGTTGACATTTTCAGGAAAAGCCTTTATTCCCGAGTTCGCCTACACAAAAGATGCAACTGTAATGGAAGGAAACACTGCTAGACTATGGTGTAATGCTTCCGGATTTCCCATTCCTTCTGTTCTATGGCAAGTTGTGGACATTGATTCGAATAACAGAGAGTCTTTCCACGATATTGGTAAGTACACTGTACCTACTTGGATAATATGAGAATATATTGCTCCAGTGTGGTAGGCCAATCACTCCAGCTACAAATAAGTATATCTTATATATAAAGGTTTTTTAGAGTTAGTATAAAAGTAGTATAATATACATATTGTACGTATATGTATTTGCATATGACAAGAGTGCTTTTGTATATCATTATGTCTCGTTTTTATCTAAATGATATATATTTTGTATATAATTCCGTCAAAACCTTGCTGTCAACTTATTGTCTTAATTGCTATTTTTGTTACATTTATTTGTATGTGAATTTAATGATGTAAGCACTTATGAAAATTACTTTTCTTTTGGAAAATTATTACATCAAATTTTTTGCTTACCATCCTGAATATTAATTTATAGGCTTTTGAATCGTAATGTTTCATATTCTCCAAAACAGAAAGAAAGTTACATGAAGTTAGGAGGAAATAAGCGCTTACTTGCTGCAGTGACCTTTCAAAAAATATCCAGTTGTTAAACATGAAACCAAAATAAATTTTCCGTTCTCGCTTACTTGCCTGAAAAAACAGCAAGAACTTAAAGTTTCTAAACGTGAAAAAATCATGTGCCTTTCTTAGTTTTTCTTTTCATGCAGTTATCTGATATTTAATTGATAAGTTATATTATAGTTATACATCCATCACATATGTATGGGAAAAAAATGACTTTGTATAATTACCTACATTATTGTATAAGATATGGTATGTCAGTGTAAACAAATTATACAGCGTATCTTGCCTAAAATGTGCGAAGGTATTCCATCAATCACATTTAAATGAAATTAGAAGTGCTGATGAGACGTATATTTGACCCAGACTATTATGAAATAGGATACATAAGCTAGACAGCGATAATGCTATTTTGAAAATATGCAGGAAAATCAGATATTTTAAAACAATTGTTAATATGAATATCTGTTTAATTCGTTTTTTTACTTAATAAAAATGATAACTTTCATGCTAATTGGTGTTTGTCTCAGGCATTCATGGGAAGCTGCTTCAAATCAAGAACGTTTCCAGACACTGTAGTACATCGTACAGATGTGTGGCTTCGAATGAACTTTCCAGAACTCCTGCGGAGCAGAATATCAAGATTCGAGTGGACTGTAAGTTGAATTTGTAATCAGTATTGAAATAATAATTTTAAACAAAATCAAAGGATTGTGCTTGTTTTTCATTGGTGGGTATTTACATCTCTATTAGCGGTCAAGAAAAATTAGCAATTAGTGACCTCCGCATATTCATGTACATTCCAACAGAGAGTTAGCATACAAGTAGTTACATGTACGAAATAGCATGACAGTTGAAGCCGGAAGATAAGTTCAAGGAACACAACTGCGACCCTTTGACCAATTATAAATGAGTCACATTATCGTTTAACTTATACATATGTAGTAAATGTAGCTATAAGATTATAATGGGATTTTTTTTTATATTTTTGTCATTTTTGGTAGTTAATTAACAATGGCCTAGTATTTACTGCAAAAGTATGAATATTGATTCTGATCAATCCATGTTTCAACGTTGGTTGAAGAGTGATTTTCGTTGAGACTTTTCAAATTATGTCACAAATGTGTTTAATGGAAGCGTTGTGATAATATTTTATGCTTTGCTGTCATGGCGAATACCAAAGTAGTCGATCCTATGAAACTAGATAAAAAAAAACAGCGCGTAATACATGATAACAGAAAACTGACCTTTTTTTACATGTTGTAAGTGTACAATAGACTTTGCTAAATATAGTCACTTGGATGAAATGGGATGTGTGATAAGTATCCTTGACCACCGTGAATGCCATACTGGGAAAATGGAGTCTGTGATATATTTGATATAAGTAAACTATAAATGTATAAAATGACCTCAAATGTGTAGAGCTGGTTACTGGCAATGATCCAAAACAAACATCATTGCCCTTCAATTTGTAAACATTATGTAAAGTGGGAGAGAGCTCAACTGGATTAATGCCCATTGCAGAAACAGGAAGTCAAACTTATATTTTAAGTCAAAATAATATAGGATTGATTATATCAACTATCTGTACGTTGGTATAGGGTATACATCATTTCCTTTCTGAGGTTGACAGTGAATTTAATAACTACTAAACAAAGAACTTTTGATTGTAACGAGGACCGTTACAGAAGTCCTCTTGGTTACCACCAAAGCTGCAAACGACGATTCAAAATGAGTGTTTATTGCCATAATGTACTACACTGTCGACAGGGATCGTTGGCATCACCTTGGCGTACACCTCTAAATGTATCAATCAAAAAGAGGCCACGCCAGCCATGTTTGATAACCGATCAGAAAATGAAACGCGTAATCATAATAAAGATACAGCTATAACAATAGGTCCTCCACTTCGTTTCAGTGGGTTTTGTTTTACATGTATGATGTTTTTAATTTGTAAAATTACTAATTAGACTAAGATTTTGTCATATTATAAACATATGTAATTATTGTAATCGACCACGAATATTTAGGTTGTAAACTAACTTTCACAGTAAACTTTTGGTTTAGAGTAACATCTCTTATTTAGAATTATCCAATAATTCACTATGATTCTAAACTGTCTATCAACGTAATCTTGTGTTCTTTTCAAAAGCGTCATCACTTATTGTGTACTTTCAAATGTGTCATCGATTCTTGTGTACTACTACTTGTACTAAATATGACATCAATTCATTTAGCAAGTTCAGAACTGTTATTTATAATAAGAATGTTAAATTCTCTCTTTGTGAAACTCTTCTGAATACAAGATACCTGCCAGCGTAGGGCAGCAAATATCCTGAAATAGCTTCAGTTGGTTTTGATGTAGGCATCAGTAGTGCAAAAATAAAGAGCTACAGAGTGAGGAAATAACTTTTTTTATATAATGGAACATAAACGCTTTATTCCTCCTTTTGCTAAACTTCAAAATTCTCACTAAAGGGTAACTAGAACATATATACTTCGAGAACTTCCTTTTATTATCGATTATTATTTAACATTGGTAAATAAACAAGCAAAACTGCAAAAGTTGCCTGACGTCAGCAGTCTTATCCAAGCCTACCATTGCATGCGGGTTCGATGGTTTTCAAAAGTTCTAGATAAACAATGTTGGTGATACCGATGTATTTATAAATATCATTCCAAACATGCATTTGATGCACTCATTTGTAAACAAAAACAAAAAAACTTTGTTTTGCAGTTCGTGCTATGGCCGATCTCGACATATACAGTGAGGATTATTGTGGTACTTCCACTGATGATCTCGGGGAGACAATAAAAGTAAACACAACAGGAGATTCCTATGTGGAGAAGAGTGAAGGATCAAGAGTGTCGCTTGTTTGTAGCGGATCTGGTTCTCCGAACGCTACCATAGAATGGCTTAGGCACTATAAGGGTCAACTCATCAAAATCTCAACTCTAGGACACGGGGATCAGATTGACAATACCCACCAACTTGAGTCTTTTGTGACCGCGGTCTGTCCTTCTTTATTCATTGACGAACGAAGGTTTCGACTAACCTTTCAGGTTTTTGACGATATGTTCACGACATACGTTTGCCGTACGTCAAACAAATATGGCGTCGACGAAATGGCGATGACAGTCAAGAAGGCAATGTGAAAGATTTCGTTTAAAATTATGCAAATGTTCGTCTCGATACACCACGGGTCTTTGAGTGTAATACAAAAACAAATAAATGCTTGAATAATTCTTTAATAGGTAGTTATATACATGTGATGTCTATCTACATATGTGTCCAAATAAGTGTTTGTGTATTCGTTGTTTTCGGATCACTGCAGATTACATTTCTGTTTAAATTTATGATCTCTAAGGCAAGTTTTGTACAATCATGAGACATCATGGTAGTAAAACAAAGCTAACGTTGATCAAAGTCTCTTCTTTTCCAAAAGATCTTTATTCGATTACCTTGACAAATATTAGCGGTTAAGTTAGATTTAACTGTGTATGAAATATTCTTCTGTACTGTTATTAGTTCATCGGTTCAAGTTGGGAGAAATATCGTTAAAAGCCGCCGAAGTCGTAATACATATAATGTATATCCGGTCAATTTACATCGTCTAAAAATTAAACCTTAATTGTTAAGCAGACATATATGTTACTTTCCCTTTAATGGTTTTGTAGTTATAAAAACCTAAAGAAAACGCTTTTGTGAATGTAGTCATAGAAACGCTATACAAAAACGTTAATTAGATACTCAATGTTCTTTGGTTGATTGAGTAAAACCTTGCTATGGTCGACGTAAGGACTACGGGAGATGTCACCAGACTGTTCCGCACGCGATATATTTAAAGTTTACATGCCATGGCCATACTTAACCAAACGAGTCGATGGCAGCAATATTTCCAGACTTTAAACTCAGTCCTATACACGTGGCTGCTCAGTTCTGGTGTAGACACTGCTAGAGAAAGTGTCTTCAGTGTCGGCATTTTGTTTTGACTCCCTACGTTCGAGCACTTGTTGTTTTCAAACTCTGCGGATAAAGTGTTTAATCCTTTTAGAGGAGACAGCTTTAAATATTGGCAGGAAAAAAACGATCATACAAATGTATCTAGAATCGCTGTGTCTTGAAGCCACTGACTTACACTCGGACAAAATCGCTTATGAGACTCACATTTAACAGTTCTCCTCGTCAACTGACAGACTGTTCTTTTGGTTTTACGTCGCATACAAGTTGCCCGTCGTTATTNTGATCGTACAAATGTATCTAGAATCGCTGTGTCTTGAAGCCACTAACTTACACTCGGACAAAATCGCTTATGAGACTCACATTTAACAGTTCTCCCCGTCAACTGTTCTTTTGGTTTTACGTCGCATACAAGTTGCCCGTCGTTATTTCGTCAGGGGGATTTCGCCGATGCAACACCGGTCACTGATTTTTATGATATGCTAGTACTTCTTCTCAAATATACTTCAGCAGCATCTGATTTTAGATTCTACAAATGAATTCTGACATCACCAGTCAATCGTAAGTACAAATTTATGCGACAAATATTTGATTAATAAATATTTTTTATATGTTACATTGATGCTTTTCTGAATTAAAGAAAACTTCTTTATTAAATAAACTTTTTTTGTCGGTGAGCAATATTTATGTCTATCCTTCAATGTAAATACAAAAATAAGTTATGAAAATGATGATTTGATTGGCAAATTAACATAACAGTTACTCGAGGGACAGATCCCGTCTTTTAGATATTACAAAAACGCGTATCACACTAACTTAAGGTTGGTATGGTTTCAACTGCTATACAAAGATGGAAGATAACAATTCGATGAAATAAACAATTATCAAATCATTTATACTAACAACACAAAACAAGATATCAAATTTTGATTAAATTACATACTGTCCATACAAATGTACATAAGCAATATATATGTAATATACAAGTTATTTTAACAAATATTCCCATGATATCCGGTTTTTCAAAACATATTTCTTTTAACAATGTAAGGTCAACAACGCATTAAGGTTTTTCTCTTGAAAGAACTTATACACATGTAATAAATCTGAATTCTTAATTCAGTTTTAAGGACAGGTTTCACTTTTACGAAGATGACGACTGGATTTATTCAACTCCCAAACACAGCGTCAACCGGAAATGACGACAATATAACTGAAATTATTGACAACCAGACATATGGAGGGAATATGACGTCACCAGTTTCATTCGTGCAGGAAAGTCAGTTAGAATATGCAACTTCAATAATATCAGTTATCGTTTTTATTGTTGGCCTCATTGGAAATATGTTAACACTTAATATAATATCCAATACAAAATTCCGGAACTTATCATCCCGAAAGTTTTTGGCTGCTTTGAGTGTGTCCAACTCACTTCTTCTACTAACACAAGTATTCAACAGAAAATACGTGATACAGATTTTCGGCTTCGATGCACGAGCTATCTCTACAACTGGATGTAAGACATTTTTTGTCATGTTCAAGACAGCGAAAATGACATCCTCGTTGTTTGTGGTATCGATTTCTGTAGAGCGATTTATTGCTGTTTGGTTCCCGCTCAAAGTTAAATTCGTTTGTGTTAACCATGTTGTATATATTGTTATCGCTATAGTCTACATTTTGATTGGATCTTTTAATTCTGTTTGGTCATTTAGTTCCGGGGTCATAGGGGGCATTTGTCATCCAGATATTGTGACATCATCAATCGCACAACAACACAAGGTGTTACTCATCATTGGGTCCTTGCTTTATTCTATCATCCCTTTGATCATTTTAATCTTTGTCACTCCTTTCATAATGGCTAAACTCGTTAGCGGAAACAAACAACGTCGGAAAATTTCGCAAACAACATCAACAAGAATAATTAATCGAAACAACACCCACGCGTCAATATTGGTCCTTTGCATTTTGATATCATACATGCTTCTTGTTATCCCTATTACCATATTTCATAATGTGGCTTTTTTTAAAGGAGTACGAGCTTTTGGTGAGAACGATGAAAGTTTCGAAACGTTTAAATCTATTGCGCAAATGCTTGAGCAAATAAATTACGCCATCAATTTCTTCTTGTATACCATGGTGTCGGAAAAATTTCGTCGTCATCTGCTTGAAATGTTTTGCTGTCATAAAATTCGAGCTATGCGAGACTCAACGTTTCGAGGTTTATCCAAACGCACTGTTGTGTATACTATTAGCGCCGAATCTACCACCAAATGATTTGTTTGTCCATCAGCGCTTTGTTGTGCATAAACAAAAATGCATTAAAGATGGCGCTGTTAGCTAGATTGAAAGATATGTATCAATAATTGAAACCATAAGGCCGTTGACCAAAATAACTATGGCTATCAAATTATGTATTTGTGTAGTTATCATTTGTTTATAAAAATCAAATATTTTTCTTCTGTGGTCCTTTTGTTAACAAAATGAAGACATTCACGAATCCTACAACCTGTGAAATCTGACCGTTAAACTGATTGTTCTGTGCATGGAAAGGAAACTGGAAAACCTAGTTTTACGTACTAATCTGTCTATTTTGTGTATCACGATTTTAGTGATGTAATTAAACACTATGTAAATAATTAGATTTGTGCTAAGAGCAATCTAACTAATGAGGGAAATAATCCCCCGGGGTCCAACCCTGCAGGTCGGGGATCGGGAAAAGAATACACCTGCTGTAACCCACTGCATGTGTCCGGAGGAGGCGACAAATGTGTGAACCCCTGCATAATTAGGGATTTGCTTTGGTGTCCTCTATTTGAGGACACAAAAGCGACCAAAATATATCTGCTGCGCCCATTGCAATATTTGGGATCTTTATCTTGCTTTCTACTTCTAACTAACTATTATTTCCTAGCGCCGTGCTTGGCAACACCTCAGATTTGGCTTGAATGTTGAGCTTTCGTCCAGGTGAGGAAGGCAATGGGTTCTGTCCCCAGGCCGAGACATACCAAAGTCCTTAAAAATGGTAGTTGTTATTCCCTGCTTAACGTTCAGCATTAAGGGGAATGGCAACAACTGGTTCATCCGTTGTCAGTATAATATGACTGGGCGGAATGCTGTGCTGGGTGCCTTCGGCATGGTGTTTCAGTGAGATAGCACTACAAAGTCGGCATCANTAAAGTCATGATGTGTGGAAAACTGCATAGAAGAATTCTTTTTTGAAATAATCAAGATACATTCAAACCGTAGAAGATTATAAAGAACCCTTTTTTACGGATTTGTTCAATGTCAGGTAATGTAATTCTGAAAATACACAAATTGTTTAAAATTTGTTGTGTCAACATCACAAAACAAATATTTATTTTGAAAATATCTGTTAAATTTGACATTGTAAATGTTCATAATATATATTGTTTCGAACCAGGATTGCCATTTTGTGCGAACAATTACATGTTTTAATGTTGTTAAATGCTTTAACTATGACACAGTGATGAATATCGTTATCAACATTGCATTTTTTATTGCTCGAGAACTTCCATTTTTGAAGTGAGTTGTCACGAAGACGTATGTTGAATTTTGCCGCATACCGCCGTTGTGAAGATATTTTGACGTTTTGACGCCAACTTTTATTACTTCCATTTGAACCATATCTTTTCCAATAGTTTGCGGCAAGGTAGCTTTAAGTATGTATTTAACTAGGGACTGGGTTTTTTGTAAGTTTTTGAATATATGAGCAACCTGCCAAATTATTCAGTTTCTTGCCAAACAATTGATGTAGCTTTCCTAGATAAAGTCACTAAGCTTTAAGGATCCCCGTTTCACTGCCAAAAGCCATAACTACGCCTTAGAATTGTTCTTCTCTGGCATGACTATAGCTTTGAAAAATCATTTCTGAAAAGATGGGACTTTTATGGAGAGAAAAAAAGAAGAAAATACATTGTAAAAGTTAATGATATTGGGGGTTTTTTCTGTCCTGTTTAATATGTGAAGTTAATAAATATACTGCAGATTTAAATTTGGAATTTTGTTATATCTGGTAAAAATTGGTTTTACAAAACTGGTGACAAACCTGCGAAATCTATTTTCACAACAGTAAGTCTTTGAAGAATATTGACTGGAAAAATTAGTCATATTTCTTTCTTTAAAATAAAAGTGATGATCGCAAATCAATAGCCAATGAAGGTTTTAGCCGTTTATTAATCCTATCGCATCCACCTAGTCTGTTATAGATGCATATCGCTGATATACGCTATAGTTACTTTACTTATCATTATACGTACTTAACTGTCTGGTGATGAGTTTCCTTATGTCAATAAATCTCTAAATCATCATGTTAACATTTTTGTTTTCTCTTCATGGCACTTTAGCAAACGATAACCGGAAATAGTAACAGCGACCGTAACTCTGGCACACACAAACCCATTGTTCTCATGTCTCATTAACGTCGATTGTTTAAAGCTTGATAAACAAATTCGTCCACAAATGAAGTCATTAGATCGATGACAAAACACTTTCTTATAATGGTTATGGTGACTTTGACCTTGACATCCTGAAAGACAATCTTGTCCGTAAACATACACGACCATTGTGTGACTTTTGTTTAAATTTAGTTGAGAAAACGAGTCGCTAGAACGATGACGACGATATTTTACAAACAGTAACGCTTACATTGACCTTGACCTTGACCTTGGGAGTTAGAGTTTTATAAAAAGTTACTGCTTATTTTATTTTAATATTGACGATAATATTTTAAATTCCATTTAATTATAACCTTGTTACATTCTAGTAAATAAGTAAAATACACCACCTTCATCATGCTCTCAGTTCGGAAGCATCGTAGAAAAACATCAAGATCAAACTTGCTTGAACAGATTGAATGAAGTACAAATGATAATGATAAATATAATAGTGTCTGGAACATAGCGTACATGTGTTTGCCGACTTTTTCCATTATTACATTCATTTATTGGTGCCATCACTTATTCTTCATCCTCATTGGTTGAAACATTATCACGTTGAAATTGGTATTAGAAACATTAGACCAATATTCGCTTTATGACGTAACTTGCATTGTAACGTCACAATGCTCTCTGCTAAATGCAAAACCTATCTCTAGACGATTCACTTACGCCTCGGCTTGACTAATGATATAAAGATGATGATTTCATATGTAATTTAACAATTAATGACTTCGATGATTTCAGTAAATGTGTGTTGTATCGACCTGGACTTCGTCTCGGTCAATATCATTTTCTCAGGTTCACATAACCACAAATTCACCTCAACAAAGTCCATAATTGATCAATATTGGGATGGTATATATTGTCAATGTGAACAACGTTGAGTGACAGGACCTGTAAAGTATATGCCAATTTCTTTCGATGATTCACACATACTGTACTGTACATTAACACGGACGGAAACACTCGACGTAAACATCCGTATTGTTGTATTGTTTTTGAATATCTCCTCTATACATACATTGTGTGTTCTTCCTCCTAAAACTATGTTATAATAGTGGTACATAGATACATAATGAGTGTCACACATACACCAATAAATTGTACTTATGAGCTATATCAAAGCTAACAAGGAACACCTGACTCCTTATGATGTAGTCTGCGATGTAATTGTCACAGGACGACCACACACGATGTTGTCCCAGTGACGTTTTTGTCATAGCCATTTATGTAATGAGGGTAGAGAGATATGATCATAAACTTAATGAACTTCGTGTATAGAGATTTAACAAAATCACAGTGAATGTATAAGGAAATATTTATTTAGTAGCATTAGTTTTCTATCATTTCTGTGTATGTATGATAGAACGGTACATAACATGTAATACATTTCTGTCTTACATCCTGTTTCACCTGAGTGACGTCACAAAGGGTCAACAATGGTGAAAATTGCGAAAATTCCGATGCTGCAATTCGAAAAATGCCAACGAGATGGGGTTTTTTAAATGAAAATATATTTACCGTTAAGTAAAACAGATGGGATTCATGTTTTCTTTACAAACACAGTTAAGAGAAATGGGGCATGTTAAATCTCACTGACCGATACAGTGTATGACTTCGTGCAAAAACTTTGGGGGAAATATTTTCAAAATGGCTGCCAGTCAAAACCCATTTTCGTGTTATTTAGCTTATTCTGGTACTTACTCTTTTATGTACAGATGTGTACGATAGGGATACCCCAACTTCGTGATTTTCAAATTTGTCATTTAAATAACCCTTCGGGTGAATTACCCCCGTCTCGTACCCCTTGGCATGAAATAGTCTTATAATATGCACTGATCATGTCTGTTTGGTTTATACCATCATGTAATGAAACATTCATTAATTAATGGTAATTACTATTTACATTTTTAATTCATTAAAACATGTTGAATACATGTGCTGTACAATGATTGCCGTTTAAACCATATCAAAAAAGAAAACTACGTAATGAAAATACAACTCAAAGTAAAACGCCAATGTCACTTAACAAAAACAGAACAAAATCATTTTTTTCAAAAAAAAAATCACTTCATTATTATAGCATTTGTTGGTTACATTTAAGAAACATACATGAGCAAATGTTTAGGGAGAAAAAAAATATCAAAATTCAAAGGTCCTTTTCTAACCACTCTAACAGCGTGTTTGTTTTAATTGTTGTGGCTTAACGAAGAAACAATAAGGCTTATATCATAGATATCTAAAAATATACAGTACGTTACATGGCGTGATCACAATTTTCACATGCAATTTATAAACACTATAGCTGCTGCTAGTGTCTTTGCTCTGAATTTGTATTCAATCTAGATCTGTTAGTTTCATGTAATAAGCGACACACAAATAAGACCTCACGAGCGTTTTCATAATAAGAGGAAATATTTCTGAAGTGGATCCGGGATTTCTGTAAGGAGAGGACGGAAATGCTAACATCGTTGGCACCCTTTCACTACCAGTTCTGGTTTTTCAGATTAATAAATGATCCTTCATTATATTTTAATAGATATTCAAATGAGACATACTGAAATACTTGTCTTGGGTTAAACACAATCGCCACAGTGAAGCAAAAGAACGCATTTTTGCAATTTTGTGAGAAATCAAATCTTTGACTTATTAAAACATTTAATTGATGATTTAATCATAACCTAGATGTTGCTTCATGCTTACAATTTTCCATTTCTACTTTGTCTCTATTTATAATTGTTTTGATTCATATGTTGCTCCTGAACAAATTTGCAGATGCATTTTTTTTAAGGCAAACGACCTATGCTGCATCGTTTATTGTGACTAATTTTAGAGTGAAGTACCAGTAATTATTTAACATAACGCTTTGAATAAATAAAATAAAACTTGTAATACAATATGCATTTATATGCAGGGTGGTTATAATTAACTAAAGCATAATATAGGAATTATACAGTAATAATAAAGATAATGCGTTCAGCAGAATTCTAAATATATCAAAGGTACATGTATAATTTTACGCAACTCAAAATCTAATCAAAACTAAATAAAGATGAAAAACTAAAATTAAAAAAATATAGCAAAAGAAAAATAATGTCATATAATGCAAATGAGGGCTCTCTAGTGTTCAGTATAACCATTTATCATACAATTAGGAAAACTGTTAGATGTTATAACAATTGAATGATAAATGATAAATGACAAAAGTAAATATTGAGTTAAAGACCTTATGTTCGTAGGACATACAATATGCAGATATTGGCCTTAATGCCCCAACCCTGGCAATATTACTTTTTAACGTCTGCAAGAAGTGGATGTCCCCTAAAACTGTTGTACAATGACGCTGTTGACAAGAAAACAATGGTTGATCTATAGATAGCAATAATGACGACATTGGCGTTGAATCCAAGGTAATTCATGCGTGACCTTTGTAGAAACATTGATGAACATCTGTTAAGAAATGAAGTCGGCAAATTGGAAGACGGGCATGGGAATCACTAAATGGTCGCAACCCCCTCCCCCGATAAACGTACGTGTGTAGTGTTACCAGTGTATAGATCACAGATAAATGAGGTTTCAATTCTAAAAAGTATTTTCTATAATAAACGGTCATGATAAAGCATTATAAAATATTTCCTAATAGAAGCCGAATAAGTCCCATAAGTATCATTGCCAAGAATACTCTTAAAGCCTTTCTACGTGCTGAGAATTTTCATTTCAACTTTCGTATATATGTGAATCTGAGGGAAGGCCCAACTTAGTATATGCGGATTCTGATGAATCGTGCATGTCATGTGCATCACCGTGCTCCAAAACATGAATGTTGTCGTTGTTGCTCATATTGTCACGATTTTTGTTGTCCACGTCATACTTTTTGATGTTGGTAGTATTATGGGCTGTATCATACGTTGGATTTACATACTGTGGTTTTGACGTGTTAGGTACTGCGTTATCGGATCTGTACGTAACAGTACCAGAGGTATCCATAGCGATCGACTCAGACCCGGACACATTTTCGACATGGAGCGGGTTATGTAACTGTAATGACCCATCGCGGCCCTGTTGTAAAATTTCGTTCCGGAACCGTTCGTGTCCCAGAGAACCTTTCTGGTTTTGTCGCCATTTTAAAACTAGGATGACTATCACAAAGAGGACGATCACGAGAACACAGCCCAGTATGACACCCACAACTAATCCTGTATTGCCCTTCCTGTGCTCCGGTCCTGGTTCGGGTCCCTTCGTACTTGTTCCGGGAAAATCTTTTGAAATAATAAAATAAATTAATCATATAAATCCTGATTTTTGTTTCAATGTCAGAAAAGCGTGATAATTTCCAATAACGGTAATAGTGTGCTTTAACTTTTTATAACATAATACCCATAACTTCGAAAGAATAGCTTTGATCTATGGCCATCCATGGTGTTGTTTTTTAAATGCTTTAATCATTATATGACGATTTCCTACAGTTGAAAATCCATGTTGAGGGCAATGCATGATATTTTTTATTGAATTTTCTTTGTTATTCGACTTATGTATTCTTTTGGTTTGATCAAGTACTAAATTAACTTTCGATTCCTCGTGAAACGAAATGTTCGCGATACCCCGAATGGAAATACATGTAGTTTGGAAGCAAATTATACGAGAAATACGAAATTGGTCATACACAAGGAATTTTCCACACGAGAAAGATCATTTTGATAAGCCATATACGAAGTTTTGATATAACCAGAATGTCTCTGTCTTTTGAAATACTTTATGCTGAGAGCTTTTTGAGGATAGTCAAGTGACATGAATATATTACTCACATTTTGTTCCTGTCAAGATTTAGTCATTCGAAAAAAAATCTACGAATTACGAATGTATACAAACTTTGTCGGCAACTTTAAAGATTCGACATTATTGATACATGTTTAACATAACATTATACAGATGACAAAATTCCACATGGTAACTCACCAATCATACGACACTTGACTCCGGCATCACTATGGTGACTGTTACACGTGTCGATATATGAATCAAGCCAGCCTCCATGAGGGCAATCCTTTAGGCGGTCCTCGTTTCCGGTACACATGAACTTGACGTCATAGACAAGACGTGGAGGGGGCATGGTGTACTCGCCTTGATACACTTCCCCAATATCGTACCCGAATTGTTTACAAAGTGCCTGAGCCTCATTTTGACCCCAGTAGGTATTGCAGATTGTACCCCAACCTTCTCCGGGTAAGCGAATTTCCACACGACCCCATTTTGAATTGCGATCCCCGCCTGATATCTTGTAAGTAGGACCTATTGAAAAGAAATATCGCCATATGTCAATTTTATTTTTATCTGAAGCAATACGCCCTTTTATATTTATATTACTCTGTTGACAGATCTAGTTCACGTATACCATAAAGTGGAGTGAAAATTCCTTGTCGAAAAACAAATTGTGTTTTAGATAGAGAAATACAATAGTGTGTTTAATAGCTATGCAGAGTATGTTTCATACCCGATGGAATTACTCGAGTGTACAATATAATACTAACGTTTTAAAGATTATATCTATTGCCGTATTTTTAAATTCTAAGTACAATATTTTGACGTATACCTTCGGCATCAAAACAGATCGTTCCAGCGTAGTGTCGCTTATCACATTTTTGTACACGGCCCAGTCCCACGTGGCGGCATTCTTGAAGGTCATTTTCGAGTCCGGAACAAGTGAAGTTAGATGTCCAGTACGGTCCGTTCGATTGCGTCACATTCTCCACAAAATGTGTGTAAGCGACACCATACTTGAATCCCTGCTGTTTACAAGCAACCTTGGCGTCATAATCATTCCAGCCATCGGCACAGATTCGTCCTTCTACTCCGAGGTAGGTCAACGCAAGCTCACTAACTTTACTACCAAAAGTAGGCTTGGGTAGGGAGAGCGTGTAATCTAAAAAAAAATGATATAACCTATTTACATAATCGTAATTCTTTTTTTTATGTTTACTGATTTTCGTGAATGCAGGTTTGGTAATATTGTTAGGACAATTTGAAATATAAACAACACATTTACAAAATAAAACGCATGATGCACTTCGGTGAACAATAGTCTTTGTTCTTTGAATAAAAGTGTATTGTCTTTCTTATGACATATCATTTGGTGGTTACATTATCTGATCATGAGGAAAAAGTCTTTGATGTTACAGAAATCAAAACTCGATAATAACAGTAAAAAATAGCAATTTTAGCGAAAAAAATATATTTGTACATTCCTTTTTTACATAATATATATCGATTTCACCTCGCGTTTCGTTTCTTCCTCTCTCTCTCTCTCTCGATTTTGTCCGCATTCCACATGTTTGATCTGCTGAGGCAGAATTTATGTATATGCATGTACTAATATATTTTGTTGTGACTCTCGTACCTGTTGTGCCCTATTTTTTTGGCCTGAACTTTATATAACTGTTTTCGTTGTAACTTGCCAAATAGCCCCTGTTACTAATCCTGTTCTTCATTAAGAGACATACGTTCGTATTTTATTTCGTAATTTGGATTTTTCATCGTCAAGTTGGAATTTACGTGAAAACTTTAAATGGGTTTAAAATCGTCCTTATCTCTGTCCAAGATTCAAAACTACAATATTAGGAGAATTCTGTATGGCCAAATCGTCTCGGATAGCTAGACAGAGTTGGTTCCTTCATAGTCATATGACCGAATGATGTGTAATTGTATTGTCTTTCTTATGACATATCATTGGGTGGTTACATTATCTGATCATGAGGAAAAAGTCTATGATGTTACAGAAATCAAAACCCCAACATGATACACAGAATTTTCACTGTTATTGCTATCTTTTTAATATTAGGAGATTAAGTTTTCTGGTTACCATACAAAACAGAGTTAATCCAGTGAAAACTAAGTCTAATAAGAGGTAAGCAGAAAAAATGTTTTGCTTTTAAAGCATAAGGATTTTGTATATATATGTCAGTTTGGTTGGTAAATCTATACAAGCCAAAGCAAACACGAACATTTAAGTTATTTTTATATCGTAAAACTGAATGATTCCATTTGCAATACGGTTTGTAAAACGTATCGAATTCGAAAATTCATTTTCAAGTTAAAAAAAAAAAAAGCAAATGCATGGAAAAAAAAGAGTAAAATATAATTTAAATGTAATTGAAATTATTTTCAACATATAGGAATCGACAGTCAAATCTTTGATGAACCTTTATAATATGATGTTATGTTTGATTATATTGAATCGATAAATATCACTTACTGTTTTGGATTTTCAAAAAGAGACAAAATGCAGTCAACCGGCATTTCCCAATATCTGAACATTATATTTCAACTGAAAAAATACCTTCTTTTCTTGCCCCGTTGTAGCACACAACAGAAGCATAGTTGTCTGTAGAACAAGTGGCCTGGCTAACGGGAACGTTGTTAGGATGTAGAAATGTAGCGCGACACTGTCTTATATATGACTCTGTGCCCGAACACTGAAGAGAGGATACTAGCACAGAGCTGTCGGCTTTACCAAAAGGTGAACAACACAGGGAAATCCCGTCGTCAAATCCAAGGTTTCTACACACTACACCTAGACAGAGGGTTTATTTTAATATAATTACAATATTGTCATGAATAAAACTGATGTTATGTATCAACATTCCGAATAATATTCAGATCAACATTTTTTTAAGTCTTGCTAAGTGAACGAGGATAATTTAGAAAGGTATGGAGAGGGGGGAGGCGATTCAAAACGATATAATAACAGGCTGACGACGTTTTGATACAGAAGGATTTTTAAATAAAATACATTAGAGAATGTTCCTTCACTTGGTGTTATGTTGCCTTTTGCTGAATATTTAAGCTTATCTCATATTGCGTCCATATAATCAAACTTGTGACATTTTACGCGAAAACAATTGTCACCCTTAAACTGAATTTTAAAAGCAGGAATGCGCCTTAAACATGCTCATTCTCAACAATAAAGAAAAAGAACTACGCTTCGCTATACTTTCTAGTGTATAATGTCATCAATTTTGCTGTTATTATCTGAAGAGAAATGTTATGCATGGAAGAATAAAATTTACGAATACTATCGCCGTAGTGAAATATGAACGTACCTGCATCAGAATCGCTGAATGTGGTGGCACAAATTGTCCCCCATGTATCGTCATTGTACACCTCCACGATACCATAGTGACTCCTCCCGCCAACAAGCTTCACTAAACACAGTTTGAGAGTTTAAAGTCCCGTGTATGTATAGTGAAATAAATTAGCAATGTACATGTGAAATAGATAGATTTTAATGATGAGGTCGAATTTTATACGTAAAGAACGTGTCTCCCCATTACTATGTTTATTGTCAGTAGGTTAACGTTTTGTTGGCTTGTTTGGGGGTTTTTTCTGCTGTACAAGCTTTGACTTTGGCTATGGGGATATACGAAGAAAGAATATGAATAAAGTTAATGGGCAAGTGAAAAAAGGTTTTTTTTATTTTTTTTATATATATATTAATATGTATATGTATTTAGTAAGTCCCCCAAACGAAGTGGGGGACCTATTGGTTTTTCGCTTCTTCTTCTTCTTCTTCTTCTGCCGTGATTTTGTCCGACACATTTAAAAAAAAAAACATTTGACGGAAATAAATGAAACTTTACACAAGTGTTCATCATGGCTAGGGGGTGTGTAAATGACCTTTCATTTTCCGATCAGTCAACCGAAATGACCGCCACGGCCTCTGATCCGATTTGTCGAAATTTAATATTGGTCGATTTTGCTCAATTTTCTTTTTGTATGCGTATTTTGGCACTACGAACATAGCTGCTGGGGATGTTTTAGGGACGTCTATAATGACCCCCCAGTACAATTAGTACTTGTTATCTAATATGAATATCATTGTTCAGTGAAATACCAATGTGATTATATGCGTGTTATTAGCTCTTCACGTGTTTAAATTTACCATCATTCAAGTGAGGTCAACTAATCTGATTAGCAGGTCGTCAATGCTATTGAAAAAATGTGCTGTCATAGAATGAAAGTTTTAACTTTGACTTAAAATGAAGTCCGAGTGTCATTAAAATGTCGATTTGAGTACCATACGAAAAAATAGCCCATAATTATCAAAATGAAGTACCGTTACGTGATGTATGTTTAGTATGACTCAAACGTTATTAAATAAGCGTTCTATAACGGTGACATGCATATTAACAATCTATAAACGCTACCATTTACACAACACACATATTGATGACGTAACGTACCTCCACGATGACAATTGACAGAGGCGATTGTTACAGATTCCATTAACGTTGGATCCCAGTCCCCGATGCAGGCAAAGACGGAATCTTCTCTTCCAGTACAATGGAATTTCACGACGCCTGGTATATGAGATATAAACCCGAATGCTGATCCGTCCACATATGTTTGGTTCATTTCTTTACATACCAAAGACGCGGCGACGTCATCAAACTCAGATTTATCGATATATAAGTAATTGTTGTCAGTGTGTATGTAAAGGGCGGATGACTTTCCAGTTCCTCTAATTTTAAAATCCAATGCATCTGGAATAATAAAAATGAACCTTAGTCAATAAATAAAAATTCTTATAATTTTTACTTCAAACACTGTATATAAGCAGTAAAATTAAATTAAAAGATAACGAGTACAGTACTATCAAAATACATCAGCATATTTGGCAGTATAATGGAATACTTGTTAAGGGCTTTTTCTATGGAGGTATTTTATACAGATCCATCGGTCTTTTGTTACATTTTACAGATTCACAGTTGCTCAAAATTTGTATTTTATAAAACAAAACTAAAACTGTAGTTACAGCAGAAATCCAAGGGGTCGACTTTGGGAGCTATCCACTGCCGTTCCTTGATTATATCCATGTTGCTTTCAAGGAATTTAAAATGCACAATATCATAATGAAACTTGAACAACTTCCCAAGGAAAGTTATTAAAGTGTCCTTTATACAAGGGAGAAAACTTAAGTCAAAAAAGCTTTTAAATATCTGCTTCACAATTTTAACTTGAGCAGTGGTACCGTTTACACCGTTTTTATTGGAAAAATAATCAAACGAAGCCATGAAAAAGTATAACAGGCCCTTTTTACCTCAAAGACTTCTTAAAAACATTGTGAATCTCTACAGATACAGTTTTGTATCTCATAGGATACATGAATCTGGGTACGTTTAAAAATATTAAAGAAGACCGCTTTGCGTTGTTATCAAGCAAACCATGATTCGAACGATTTCGCCCCGAGAGATATGCAACCCGCATTTATAATGGCCTAGCAACATAAAATAGTTTATAACATTTGTAAATGGTAAGTCTATTGAAAGAACATCATATTGAAAAGGATAGAAAACACTAAAAATAAATATAATCTTAAAAGTAGTTCCTTTTAATATGTTCCAGTTGTAGTAAGGCTTTGCTGAACAAGTTTGACCAAAGGTATATGAAAATAAAACGATTTCAATATCTTTTTTATTATATTAAAATAACATAAGAATTGGTGCGAATACCCTGAAAACTATTATTTTTTCTTTTCATCGTCATATTTAAAATCACATTATCTTGAAATATACGACGTCATGTTTATTGCATTGATTGTGATGTTCATCAGTAATGAAACACCTGTAATGTCTCAATGAAAAAGGTCACATCGGTTAAAAGGTTTTATGGACATATATCATGTTTGACATGATAATTGCCTGTATGTGTATATATACTGTGAATTATAAAGCGCCGAATCTTTGCTAAATACAAAATTTAATAATATGACTTACCTGTCGTGTTCAAGCAAATAACACCAGCTATAGCTTCTCTGTTATAGCAGCCAGTGTCTGCGCCGAACTTGTCCTGAATACAGTCGCCGAAATGTTGTTCCACACCCCTACATTTGACATTGCCAAGGATGATGACATCAGCATCATCTACAAGATTCCTTACAGCCTTTCCTGACCTGTATCCTAGCGTCCGACACGTCACATCCGCATCTTCGTCATCCCAACCGGTAGCACATACATATCCCCAAGTACCGTAGCGACGCACCTGCACAGGACCGTAGTACGAATTTTCCGGCAATCGAACGGTTATGTCTGCAATATTTAGACACAATTGTTAAAGTAAATGTCTTATTTGCTACTATACTGAGCATGTCAATAACATTTCTTTATTTTAATATGTTTTTTGACTCGAAATATCCACATACTGTCTATTTCACATTTCTCATGGAAAGGTAAAAGAATATGGAACAGAAAGACTTATTTGTCACGATGGAAATAACACCATAGGAACAAAATACAAGCTACTACAAAGTAGAAACCACACGTCAAAAAATGCAAAACAAAAACAAAAACCTCTGTCAACAGATATTACAATTGTTCCAACGGACATGGCGTGTGAGAAAAAAAGTACATTTTTGGACGAGATAGTTCAGTAGTTTCGAATAGGTACAAAAATGTGTCAGAAACTTTATTTGAACTACACAATGAGTAAGAACTGAATGCGTTATCGCCTTTGAAAAAAGGAAAGGGGAAGGTGGGAAGGACAAAAGAAAGTAGTTCGTGGTGACAAAAATGATTCCTGGTATCTCTTATATTAAGAAGGATGTTAATTACTTGCGTTTACATTTTTTGGCTTCAGTTATCGACACGTTACTGGCATACAAGTGTCAGTAAGTTTCCTTTTTTATTCTATTGACAATAATTGGTCATTAAACTACAGCACGTAATTCAGTCTATAAAATGGACTCTCGTTTTTTAACAATAAGTAATTTCACTTAATTGTCAATATTTCTGAAAAGATATATCTATTTTCTTACCTTCCAGTGTTGACATTGTTGAACAGAGCACGGAGGCGTACCGATTTGAAGGACATGCACCCGTTGTGTCGTAAAAACAATCCTGTGGTCTGTCCTCTGTCCCGTCACATGTCATGTTCGTCACCTGTATCTCCACGTCGACTGGCTGAGGACCAAAACTTGAACAACATTGACTCCGTCCCGTGACGTATTCTAGCGACGCGCACACAACACGTGCCTCTGTATCGTCGAAGTTGTCGTCACACACTGCCTCCCAGCGCTGTCCGTTGTGTAGTTCGACACGACCGAAGTTAGGCTTCATTGATCCTGATGTTAGTCTTACTGAGAATTAAAAAATATATATCAACGTGTACAAAAGTTACTTTACGGATTATACAATGGACGTTAAAGTCTAATGGGAGGGCCTCCGGATTAATGAAAACCCAAAATAAAACAAAAATCTTTTATTTAAATAGGTATCTCCAGATATGTCGTAATGATTAGCATTTTGACAAATTATGAACCAAAGAGCGAAGGTTTTTTAAATGAAATATTATGAAACATCAATATTACAAAACATGCAAGGTACTGTAAACTGTAAATTTTATTTATTTATGTATTAAGGAATTAATAGCGTTATTAAAATACAATTAAAATGTCAAAATTTGTTTTTGTACTTATAAAGGAATCGATAAGGTTATTAAAATACAATGAAAATGTAATTATTTTTTTATTTATTTATTAAGTAATTAAACGGGATATTTAAATACAATTAAAACATAAATAAATTTTTGATGAAGTTATTTCAAACGAGTTAATCCTTACCATTATTGTAGCATTTGACTGCGGCTGCGCCCGACCGACATGTTACAAAGTGGTAGTGGGGTTCTATGGCACAATCCAAGAAGCTTGTTTCGTTTCCATTACATTTCATCGAGTCCAAGAAGTAGGTACCGACAGCGTTACCATGGCTACCGGCATCCAACGAGATTCCAGAACGGTAACCTAGCTGACGGCATACAACGTCAGCCTCGTTATGAGAAAAGTAGTCGCCGCATACCGAACCTTTGGTATCTGCATTGACTCTGACCAATAGTCTGCCTTCCATGGCCGTTCCATTTTCCAGTTCTATCATAGCGGCTTCTTTGAACGTAAAATGCAATATTTATGAATTAGATTGATGGTTAAGATGTGGACTCCTGGGGTTATCGTTCGTTTGCACTTTAATCTGAGTTAAACAGTACTAGTAAAGTACAGTTACACCTCGTTATACCGCCACAATGTAGGTAAAGTAAAGAGGTTTTACGAAAATATACAAAATAGTTTTTTTTAAAAACGGGACATTGAATTTTGTTGGCGGTAATAGAAGAGGCAAGATAAAAAGGGACATTCTGTCGAGGTTTTACTGTAATAACAAGTCTAAAACTACAGATGCAACACTGCGTTAACTTTAAAGTTTACAAGGACACGAAAGTAATACTACATGAACTAAAATGTGTACACAGTTCAGATTCCTGCAGGTGAAATGAATGTTAATTTGCAAGGTGAGAAATAATGAGAGACACTTAACAAGATAGACATATTAAAAAATTGAAATAAGAGTTTGCATGAATATTTCAGAAAGCAGATGAAAAACAAATTACAATAAATTTTCTCGCGTTTACTTATTTGGAGCGAAAATACCCACATGCAGGGGAAATTGCACAATATGAAATGAATGTATAGCAGCCTTGCCGACGCTTCCTGCATCGAAAGGCAAACTTTCCATGGACAAACTTAAATATACCTGGTTGTGATAGACAAAACACTCCAGCGACAGTCCTGTAATCACATTTACATGTTTCACCCCACTTAAGGTCACAGTCGTCGAGCGTGTTCGCTGTTGAACTGCAGTTAAGATTTGACAACCAGCGGAAGTTATTTTTGTGGATATTTCCCAACTTTTCAGTCTGTGTATGATGTCTGAAAAGTACAATGTGCAAGAATTGCTTCTCTTTCCTTCATTTGTCATTGTGGCATTTTTTAACTTATGGTATAAATATCGTACCATCGGATAACTTTTGTTTCAACCCATTATGCACTGTGCATAGTATGTAGGCAAAATCAACTCGGCACATATGATATTTACTCGGCACAACATCAAAGGCAATAATTATGAATTAATTCGTGCTTATATTTCATTGAACTTTATTTGATGTAATATGACGTAGTATCATTTCAATTAATTTACTGACATGTGTTTATTTACTGAAATAAATCTAAAAATCTGATAATACCCGTTTGATTTCTAAGTTGTAATGAAAGCTAAGGGAGATGAATTTACTGAAATAATTATAAAAATCTGATAATACCCGTATGATTTCTAAGTTGTAATGAAAGCTAAGGGAGATGAATCCTTATCATTCTGATGGATTTTATAAGGCTAGCAGGAGTTATCTTCCCTTATATACCAGTATGTCAAACGATGGTTTCTTACCGATAGGCAGTTCCGTATAGATGTCCCCTCATCTTACAGATCACAGTGGCGTCCACGTCATCGAATCCCTCAGAACAGATGTAGCCGTATTGGTGGAAATGAGACACTTTTACGTATCCATGGTCAGCATTTTGAAGCTGTAATTGTGCTAAAAACAAATTCAAATTGGTCAAATATTGTTTTCAGAAAATATAAAGTTTCTCTAATGAATTTTACCTGTGTAAACATGTATCAACAAAATTAGAAAAAAACGCTTTCTTCAAAATATACCACAATTAGTTGTTCATCTGTCAAGAATGAATTCTTTCCATTTGACCTACATTTTGTAAGATACCGATATTTTTCAATCATAAAATAAAAAAATATTTGTTAATGTTTCCCCTTAAATATCATTCATGTTCCATAAGTATGGATGAATATTTCAGTATTTTGAAGAGAGTGCAAGCGAGAATCAAAGTGTTTCATAATTCTGTCAGAAAAGGGAAATATTAATGTTATTCAACGGGAACTTTTTCAACATTCTGGTTTTACATTTTTAAAGTTTTAAAATAAATTGAAAGGCAGGCATGGTGACAAACAGCAGAACGTCACAATCTCTTCACTTTGTGGGATCACCAAGTTCAAGTTTTATTTTTACACTCATGACACACACTAGGTGTTTCAAGAGGTCAACATTTAATACTTTTCAATTACATAGCAAAGTGAGTACAGATTGTTTATACAACATGTAAATATATAATAATACAGAATAATAACACTGCATTTATCTTATGTCACTTACAGCCTTAATTGATTTTTTTCTAGAAAACGACTTATTTTAGATAAAACATTTAAATTACAAATAGGAATCATTCCTTTTAGCTTAAAATTGCTGGGGTTTGTAGTGTAATAATTATGGATGTATATTTTTCTTATTGATGATATTTAAGTATTTTGGCATTTAAATAAATAATGTGGTTCATCACCTATACCTGTTTGACATAAATGACATATTCTATCTGATTTTGGAGTTGCGTTCCAGCGTCCAGTCTCTATTGGGAAATTCAGATTAGACGTTCGGAATTTACAAATACTTTTCCTATCTTTTTCATTAAGTTTTGTTAGATATGATTCATACTGAAAGTTTGTCTTAAATATGGAGTAGAATTTCCCACGAGAAGAGTTTTCTATCTCTTGGAACCATTTCTGTATAAATTGATATTTTAACCGCTGTTTAACTACAGCTTTGAAATGATTTCTATTCATAGTACATGTATTTTGAAAAATCCACAAATTGCTAAAACCTAACTTGTTTAATATATCTTTTATGTAATTGTTCCACTTTAAATGCATTTGTTCACTTGATTGTAAAACATATGCCATTTTATATATCAGACTAGATAACTTGCTCCCGCCAGTTAGCAACTTAAACCAGAACATGATCATTCTTTTCTTGATTTCTACTTCTAGAGGATATCTCCAGGTTTCTCCATAAATCATGTAATTCGGAGTAGAATTTTTCACATTCATGATTCTTTTACAAAATTGCAAATGCATTCTTTCTTTGGTAATAGTGTTTTCAAATCCCCATATCTCACAAGCATACAATAGGATCAGTGCAAGAAGAGAATCAAATAACTTAAGTTGCAAATCAACAAAAAAATAGAATATTTCGTATTTTCTTGTACAATGCATATAGTGCCTTTTTAGCTTGTTCAGTTATTTTTGTTTTTGCTTTACTAAATGTGCCATTGCTATTAAATTAAATGCCCAGATTTGAATAAGAATTTTTGACTTCGATATTTTCTTCATTCAATTTAAACACATATTGTTGTCTACGTTTTCTTTTTTCAAAGATGACGACTTTCGTTTTCTGTACATTAATATTCAACTGCCAACTTCTACAATAGTTTTGAAACACATTCAGGGCATGTTGTAACCCTTCCGGTGTCTCAGCCATTAACACAGTATCATCCGCATACAGTATTATAAAAAGTTTAAGATACATTCCAATGTTAATTTGACAGAGTCTTTCTACATGATTAAGATATGCAACATCATGTTGGTTTAAAAAATCGTCAAGATCATTCAGGTATAGGGAAAACAAAAATGGGGATACATTTTCCCCCTGTTTTAATCCGACATTACAAACGAAAAATTTCGAAATTTCATTTCCGTTTTTAACACATGACTTGGTACTTAAATATAAGTTTTGAATAACCTTAAAAACTTTTCCATTTGTGTCGAATGCTTTTCGAAAATCAACAAATGTACAGTACAGCCTTTTCCCTTGGGCAAAATATGTGTTTATTAATGAGTGTAATATAAAAAATATTTTCAGTCGTCGAGTAACCTGCCTCAGAGGGAGAAATTAGGTTAATTTCATCAGCTAATTTAGTTAATCTATTATTTATGATATGGGTAAACACTTTCCCCAAGCAAGACACAAGAGTTATAGCTCTATAGTTGTCCGTGTCGCAAGTTTCTCCTTTATTTTTATAAATAGGCTTAATTATTCCAACTGTCCAAGAGTCTGGGACTAATCCAGTATTTAGTATACTGTTGGATAACATTGTATTAATTTACTCGTGATATGCTCATCTAAAATGTCATCTTTTCCACATGCTTTGTTATGTCTTAAATTAGTTACCGCATGTATAACCTCTTCCTCTGAAATATCTTCGTCTAGTATTTGGTAAAAATTGTTATCTTCTTGTTCGGGAATATATATGTTTGGTATGTCAGCTTTATTAGATTTAGCTTTACCAGATAATTTATTTAATAAGTTCCATAGTGTTCTGGGGTTACTATTTGCAGATTCCCTTATATCCCTTTCCATTTAATGCTGATATTCCTTAAAACACCTATTCATTTCTTTTCTATATTGTTTACTCTTATTTCTGAGGGATTTTTGTTTATTTGATTATTTACTACAGGTCCTCCCACATTAACACCCCACGCACGAACGTTCGGGCTGCAAGAAGGATTATTGTAAGTGGGAAAAAATTGATCATTCCTAAGGAATGATAACTCAACCACAAATCGTTTGGAAAATGTTTAAATTAGGATACACTTTTAATAACGGTTATCATATCGTTCGACAAAAACATTTCGCTCACAATACTCACTTGCTGAAGGTGACCAGACGACCGCACACACCACACTGATATATTCGTTGGTCGGACAATAGTTTGTGCTTTCGTATTTGCAATCTGCCAACTTTGTCTCAGTTCCGTTGCAGTTGACGTTTGAAATCGCATAGGGATTCGACATCTCGCCGAACGTGGAACATCGCACGGTAATGCCATTCTGATTCCCTTGTTCTTTGCACAAAATTTCCGCAGCTACGTTTCCGAAATGACCGTCATCGCATACCAAACCATAGTTCGATAACTTGTCGTCCCAGAACGTAACAGGACCATAATACCTACTGGTTAACAACGAAGCTGAAAGACATATTTAAAGCAAAATTAAACCATGAACTATGGTCACCATAAATGAATATGTTCAAAAATCATCTACTGTATAACATGAACGTATACCAGATAATAGTAATTTACTTTTGAAATAAAATCCAATATAGCTGATGTAATGCCGACAAATACTAAATATTATTACGAATATTATTCTGTATAAAATAATACAATAAAATTGAACATATTTGAGAAGAATTGACAAGAAACAAGTTTATAGCCGTAAAACAGGCGATAACCATAATGTGAAATACATATTTTGAATGAGCAAAAACAAAATTAGTTCAATAGCCTTAAAGATTAAATAGAAAGTTAAGAACTATCAACGAGATTTCAATCAAATGAAAACCCACACTTGTAGATGATCAAGAAGCAGGTTGAATATCTTGTTTGGTCATCGTCATGATCTTATTGGGGGAGAAAATATGTGATAAGAAGGCCAATGGTTTTGTGTTTGTTTGACTGCCCTGGTTTTCGCTTGACATTATGGTAATTGGATTGACCTACATTTACATGACAGGCGTCGTCGATGAAGAAGATGACGCTTAACATTCCGGATCACCTGGTCTTAAACATTTGTACTTCTCAAGCGTCTTTACGTTAAAATGTGGGGTTTTATTCTTTGTTTCTTTTCTCTTAAAACGCTCTTAGCTTAGATATTCCTACATTTCACATTTGTTATCAAATATTTACAGTTGAACTTTATGTCAAGAGTTGATTTTCTTTAACAATATTAAAATATATTTTTTATATATTCTAGGTTCTTATAAACCGCTTTATCGCAACCTAGTTCGGAGGTCTTCTCAAAGCGGTTCACAAATTGTATCCGTGGTTATAGGGCCTTTGCAACCAGCCAATATCTTTCTCAGCTCCATGGGGAACATACAGCCGGTGATTCCATTTCGGCGCTCACAGCTCGCATTCTACATTTCTAGCACTGCCGAACCACATACTCATTTACAGCGGAGTAAAGTATCTTGTTTAAAGATACAACACAGTGCCGTGCCATGACTCGAACTCGCAACCCTTCGGTCACGAGCCCGGCGTCCTACCACTAGACTAACGTGCCTCCTTAAAAGAATTCAAGAAATATACTCTGAAAAAACTCACTGATTTAAATAATCTAGAGGATTCACATAATTAGGAAGTTTTGTGATTTCGAGGTTAAAAGAGTGTTATTATAGGGAACATTTACTTACAATTCATATTTAGGCACGTACAGTATTATTTCTAAATATTTTGAAAGAATTCTTTGCTATGTGGCAAAACAGAATTACCCCAAGGAAGACAGATGACGCCAGCGTCATCATTGTGGGCGTTACAACCATGTGAGGACATGTTCCAACCAAAGTTAGGACAAGACAGGATGCTGGACTCTGTCCCGTCACACTCGACCTGATCGAGATAAACAGGTCCCACCCCTTGGCCGAAGAACGACTACAAAAAAGGTTAGACGAATAAAACATAACAAAGAGGTATGGCGGAAAACTGCCCGTATTAAGTCGGCATTTTTGAAACGGAAAAAAATATTGATGAGTAAATATTTTTTAATAGCTAAAATGCAAGGAATAGATCTAAAACCAATTGAATATGAATTTTTGAACTGTTGAGATATTCTATAGCCATATTCACTATATCTATGAAAGTGACGGGTTTCCCAGAATTAAAAAATACTTTTGATACTTTCCCATCCGAGGACCAACTTTTGAATAAACTTTTTGATTCCATGATGTAATATGTTAAATCAAATCGTATGACGGAAAAGTGGTCCTCCTTTGGAAAAGTGCTCAAAATAATGAAAAACAGGGTTGATCAAGTTTTCAAAACTGCGACAGATGTTTCTTGTGTAAAAGGAGTTTGTATTTCCACATTCTTCTATGTCTGGTATTGCCTAACGTGTAACGCAGTTAGCTTGTGACCAGAAATATGAACGGTGTAGGTTCGAATCCACATTTAGATACGCTTTTTTTCTTCTTTCTTTTTTAATATTTAGGCAAGTGATAATTTTCCTTAGTAAAGTGAAAAATAGTTTTCAAATCAATGGAACACTTTATTGATATTTTAATAACATACCTATTGATTTATCTTCTATGGAATCATGTTAACAAATCCCTGTACGTGTGTACAGTACAGCTACGCTTTGTTTTATGAAATATTTTACCCTCCAATTGGCACTAGTATTTTTTATTTATTATATAAACACAAACAAATGATGCCGAAATACAAAATATACGGGATTGTTGCGTCAGAATAAAAAAAAAGGCAAAGCAACAAAAAAAAAGTGTTATTATCGCAAAAACATTACCGAACATGCGGGAAAATTCATCGTCGAGGACAGTCTCATTTGTATTAAATGCAGGAAGACTGCAGCACAAAGTTAGGAGCGCAATACACGTGTAAGACATTCTATTCGAAAACTATATGTCATTTTACCATTCCAAGGTACAGGTAGAACAAAATCAAGATGCGTGCTTTTTAAGAAAACATGTAACGGCATGACGTAGGCAATAGTAATGAGAATTAAATCCTTTCAAACTTGGTAATGATTGTACGATCTTGTGTTTTATACAGCATAACGCGAAATAAGCATTTTGTTGAGTCTTTATCGATTAACCATTGATTTTGGGAAATAGGCATAGCAACCCGCCATAACTCTTTATCAAATTATCAAATATTTTTTATGAAAGTGAAGAAATATTACAGGGTACAGAATGTAAATTTAACGCTTTTTTTGGTTCAAAATTAGTGACCTTGACATTGTCAATACCAGTAAATACGTAAAATCGTTTAAGAAATAACGTCATGTACATCAATGAATCAAATATATCTTTTGCTCTTTCCATGTATCCTGACTTGTTTTCTTTTCATGAGTTTCTTTACTTGCGTTTCTTTTTGGAATTCCATTCGGAAACCCTTGCTGCCTACATAACACTTTTGCATCGTTAGCTGTCCAGCCAAAGTCGCATATTGTCCCAGAAACACCAGCATACGTCATTTCCGCTCTTCCTTCGCCAGACTTACTGCCCCCGGCTAAATTTACAGATGGCTCTACGATAAGAAAAAGAATATATTATCATAGTTACGGATTTGTTGAACTATTTTACTATTTGGGCTTTTATATAGAAAGTAATCTATAACAGTTAATAATTTTTAAAACGCAACATCGCGTCAAAGATAATTCAGATGTCGAATATAGTGTAATGTTGAAATTAACATCACAAATTTCGAAGAAAAAAAATATTTTTGAGCACAGACACGCTCGTGCAGTGAGCTTTTGACCATAGAGACTACGCGCGTGCAATTCCAGCATTTTCTTAGCTTTATCAAATCAATTACAATGCATGCGCATGTCTTGTTTTTTGTGTGTAATTATATAATTTCAATTTAAACGTATTTGCAAAAAAAACATGGAAAAGCACTTCGCAACACAAGAACATGAACAGAATAACGTATGTGTGCACTTGTATTACGTCATCATAATATGTGATCAAAATGTTTTCTATGATCAATTAAAGAATATACCCGTATCATTGAAACATAAGGCCCCAGCAGACGACATATCCGTTCCACAAGCAGGATCTATGGATAACAACTCGGAGACACATTCTTGGATCCGATTTTCCTGACCGGTACAATTAACGGCCGACAGCCATATTGGATTGTATCGAGTTGTTATGGTCTTGGTACCGAGAGCCACGCCCCCGCTGTATCCTAGCTGACTACATAGTACCTTAGAATCATGATCGTCCCAGCCATGTCGGCATACCGTACCTACCATTCCGTACCTCTCTATCAAAACGGTACCGTGATTGCCATGCGACAGACTCGCCTTGAAATCTGTAACAAAAATTATACAGAGTCTCAAACTGAAATTGAGCATGCATTTTGGATTTCACTTTTATCTTGTTTTTATTTGAATAAGGAAAAGCATAATTAATATTAAGCTTTAATATGCTTTGGAATTTATTTTGATTTTTTTTAATATAATGGTATTTTCTGATTAAACATAATAATATTTTACTGTAAAATGTACCTAAAATGAAAAAATAAATAAATAAATATGAATCAATAAAGATACAGAATAAGTAACTGTATTTATCTTCCTCGTACAACATGTGATTTCGGAATGATGACAGTTATATATATATATATATATCGTTATCTCACGTTTCGTATTAAAAAAAGAACTTCTGAAATAGGTTCAGATGAAAGAAAAGCAAAGCACACTACTACACTGTAGTATTGAAATAATGAAAAATGTATCAATACCTGCAGGTACTTGTCCAATAGTACACAACACACTTGCATGACTAGAATATTGACAATAATCGGTTGTATGGGCACAGTCACTAAGTGAGGTCTCATTTCCAATACAAGCCAATTCAGTCGCGAAAATTGAGAATCGAAAGCGTCCGAACATGTCCGGAAGTAGACGTTGTGCATCAGTAAATCCCAACTGTCGACAGACCACCACAGCGTCGTTTTGACCAAAGTCATGCGAACAAACGGTGGTCCATTTTTCGTTGGCAAACATCTCAACCATCCCCATGGTAACGTTGTCTGTTGTTATACCTCCAACTAAATTGACTAGAAATTAAAAGAAAAAAATATACACGGTCACATCTTATTGCTTGTTTTGCTCGTTATGTCTTATTTTAATATCAAGTAAACACTGATAGTTATAATTCGTTCACATTATGCAAATCAAGTTCTTTATTGTTTTCAATTAAACAGGTACAACAAAACATCATTCCTAATACACAACATGACATTCAATGTGAGTTAATAAACACGAGAAGAACCAAGGAAACACCAATCATGGAACCAGGTCATACCTTTTATTAGGTCTTTCGTTTGTTTCTATGTTTCCTTCTACTGTACAGTGTATTTTGGCGGTAAACGAGGTGGAAGATGAAATAAGGGGCAGTATATCGAGATTTTACTCTATTTCCATCAACGCCATTTCACTTACCCCCAACACTACACGATACAGCCACGATGTTACCATCGGTGGAACAATCAGACGTTCTGTCTGGTAGCCATCCCTTGTTCCGACACATGAATATGTTATTTTCAGTTCCATCACACTCTTCAATGGTCCAATAAATGTCGCCTTGCGCGGGTGTATTGCTGTTGAAACAGGCACAAAATAGAGAGAATTGTTGACATAATTAAGCAGATATATACGAAGGTCACAGTGACCTACTTATCGATGATGTGCTATTTGTATTTATAGCTTCAGTGTTACACAATGCTTCATAATTATGAAGAGAGTTTCAAAGATATCATGTAGTTTTGTCAAAACAGACCATTTGTAATTTTGCTCCCCCATTTTACCCTCTCAGCTATCGGAATTGTCACCAAGCTGAACTTTATTTCACGTCATAGCATGTTACCACCAGAAGGCCAAAATCGGCACCCATCCTCTCTTTAAATCACATGTTCGTTTACATATATATAATATTGGGGGAGACTCAATTGACACAACAGAAAAAATCGTTTTGCATGCTGAACAGAATATTGTAATCACGATGTTCCCACATATAGATTATAAAGTTTATAAGATGTTGTAAGATTGTAAATTATTGAGTTAAAGTCGTTATTGTGTCATGTTGATTTCGGTCGACTCGTGATTTTATCGAAGCGATAGACCACAAGAGTGGTGATTCTTTTACACATGAAAGACATAACTGAATCCAATTAAACTAGAAATATAATATGTATACTAGTATATATATAAACATAACATTTACTGCACATCACGGTAAACAAAAATACAAAACATTGATACACACGTACATACCTTATAATTGAACCGGTTGCAAATCCCAGTCGACGACATATTAAGGAGGCGGTTTTACTGTCATGAGTGCCGGGCTGATCTAATCCACAAAGGGTCAGGAATCCGTCCACCCCATCATATTCTATCTCCACACGGCCACTCTTCCTGTCTCCGTCCGCTAGGTAGACGGACAGGCCTGTATAAAGGGAGTTTGGATATTTGGCAATACGAATTTGTTTAATGGCTCTTCTTTTGTTGCAAGTAATTTGCCAAACAACATGGTCACACATATCACCAATGTGCCAGTAATGACATTTCTTCAGGCACGTACTATGATGTCATATATATCTATAGACCGAAGAAGTAATATCAAGGGTAAATTCCCATATAAAACTTGGTCCTTACAACGCATGTTTGTATGATACTAATTACTTAAAACTGGTGCATGGGGCAAGGAAGCAATTCTAACAGTGTAGCCAATATGAGGTTGTCGAAGTTTAGGAGCAATCCATTCCTTTATCGAGACCCAGAAAAGCAAAGAACACTTAAACTAAATAGAAATATGAAAGGATATAGCTAATATTAAAAAAAAAACAGTCAGCCAATCGTCGGCTAATGTAAGCTGAGAGCAGAACTGACCGCATCGTTGACTAATGATGCTGTGTGAGTGCAAACAATGACGAAGAGGTTATGTTATAATAAAACGTGAATAAAGCTGCTGAAATAAGTAGACTATCTAGGTAACATTGCTGTGTAGGCACTGAGGTAGACAAAAACATGTTCAATTACTTTATCATGTTGTAGAATAGATATATTCACATGTGTTTGTATATCATAGTAGAATTCAAGACTCGGGATTCGAACACTGAGGCGCATTTCGTTTATATCTTTTCTTACATTGTTATCCCCCTCATTATGTATTTCGCCAATATACAGGGACATCCGTTGATTTTGTCTTAAAGACATCATACTCACCTGAATTGTAACAGACAACAGCCGCTCGATGTGTAGTATCGTAACAGATCTCCAAAGTATGCTTGCAGTCAAACAGTTTACTTTCGTTTCCATGACACCGGATCCCGGTGAGTGTGAAAGGCTGATCGTCTGCAGACTCCGCCCTTGTGGCTACGCCCCCTTTGTATCCAAGTTCACGGCATGCTACGGCAGCCTCGTTGTCGCTCCAATACGTCAGACAAACCTGACCCCAAACACCAGACTGGAAGTAGGCGACGTCGCCATGGTAGCCATTCGTCAAATTCACAGACGCGCCTGTTGAAATTCATGACTTGAGATATTATGTATTGACATTAAGAATTATGAATACCTTTTCGTATTTTCGTTTTCCCATAAAACTTATATATATATATATATATATATATATACACACACTTTATCGACATCATAGATTCGCGTCAATTGCAAATTCATTAATCAGGTTCAAGATCATAAGAAAAGATTTGTTTTTGTCAAAAGACATGGTATCTAATAGACATATTCTGAAAGTACATTAATGCAGAGTTATACAATTTTCCGTTTTGAACATGTTTAGTATTCGTCTTTCGCTCTGTTTAAGTATTCCGATTTTAAAATTCAGCATCTGATGACCAGCTTGGACAATGGGAAATCGCGCAATATTCCCTTTCAGTGCTGTGTAGATTTGGACAGACAATCTAAAACAATAATGCTCTTTAGAGAAGCAATTTAGGACAGTGTGCTGTTCGGTCGAGCTGTGTTGTCTCTTCGTGATTTCTATCGAATGCCCATTATACCTTTTTTAATTGAAAAAAACCTCAACGATATTCCGGCCCCCATAAAGACGCATGGAGATCAGTTCAAACAGAGACGTTTATACTACATTTTGAAAATTGACTGTCTAGAAAAATCGTAATTCTAAAATCACGGTATATTCTTAGATGAATTAAGCAATGTTGTAGTTATTTATTGTAGAATATAAATCACCGAACATATTTAAAATTGATCGTCTAGAAAAAACGCAGTCTATACATAAACGAAAGCCGATACCACTTATATGGGCGACTGCAGCCTAAGTCTCGCAATGGATCTCCGAGAACAATAGGTCCAAGCGTGCGTTAGCGAGATCTGGGCGAGTTGCCAATCTCTGGCTTTATATGTCTTTGGTTCAAATCCTTGGTAGCAACAAACGCCAAAATGAAGAAAATTTAGACATTTTTCACACAGTTAATTGGTGTTTCTGGTTTAAGGATCCCTGTACCACTGGGGGAAATATTTTCTGGCATTACTGTACCTTTAAGGCCATTAAAAAGCTTCCATCGTTTGGTAATTTTTTACTTACCTTGCTGTGTCGTGATCTCATTGTAGCAGTGGACTGAAGGATAATAGGTATCTTGTCCGCGACAGATATCCTCATGCCCCCGGCTATCAAAACTACAATCGAGTAGAGAAGTTTCATCGCCCTTGCAACCCCTGAATGGAGTCGTGTAGACCCCAGAATGGGGTCCGTACGCAGCTATTGGAAGGGCAGTTCCTCCAACATATCCGAGCTCTCTACAGGCAACGTGTGCCTCTACGTCACCAAAACCCCAGACACAAAGGACCTGCCAACTTCCGGTAAGATTCACCTCCAGAATCCCCTCAGAAACGGCGGAGGAGCCAGAAGAAACAATGCGCACATTCCTCCCTGCAGTAGAATATCGTAATGATCAAAATGTATTAATTTTACCATAATGCACTCAAGACAGAGGTCCATATCTTATATCTATGAAGAACGGGAGTCCTTATGTAGAATACCTCTGATTAGTGCTACCTTGCACATTATACCTTTGATCGGTGTTAACAGTTAAGCTTAAATGCGTGCTTTACACATTATATCTATGGTTTGTGTGTTGAGCTATAATATATACTAAAGTAGTGATTTGTGTCAGAGTTAAGATTGTGTTCTACCTTACACAATAAAGTAGTGGTTTGTGTGAGAGTTAAGATTGTGTGCTACCTTACACAATAAAGTAGTGATTTGTGTCAGAGTAAAGGCGATATGCTACCTTACACCATATATGCATTATGCATGTAGTTTGCGTTAGAGTAAAGGGTATGTGATGTACCTTATGCATTATATATGTGATTGTGGTAGAGTTCATGATATATGCTACCTTAATTACATATTTTATTTTTGAGAGTTTTGATTTGGAGTTAGGATATATACTACCTTACACAGTATTTATGTGATTTGTGTTTAAATTAATGATATACTATACATTCTATTGTACATTGTGATTTGTGTTAATGAATCTATGCAATCTCACTCATTACACCGGTGATTTCTGGTAGATATAACTATATGCTTCGTTAATAATCATACCAGTAATTAATCAATTATATAGTGTATCTTCTTTATTCGGTGATTTGTGTTAGAGCTAGGATATGTGCCTCTTTACACATTATGCGTGTGCTGTGTGTTAGGGTTAAGGATGTACGCTTCCTTACATGTTGTACCTGTGATGTGTATAAGATTTAAGACTATGCTATCTTACACATTATACCTGTGATTTCTGGTAGATGCAAGACTATGCTATCTTACACATTATACCTGTGATTTCTGGTAGATTAAAGACTATGCTATCTTACACATTATACCTGTGATTTGTGTCAGAGTTTAAGATACAGTGTATATGCTTTCCTACACAGTACACCTGTGATGCAAGTTAGATCTAGGGATTACGCTATCATACCTGTGATTTCTAGTAGATTTAAAAATATGCTACATTACACATTATACCTGCGGTTTTAGACTGACTCACGTCGCTTAAAAGATGAAATATCGTCATAAAGCTTATCTTTTCTGTGTGTGTCCAATGCGTGCTTTCCGATCCGCATTAAAGATTTTATTAAATAATGTAAAAAATACAGTAATAACGCTTTTGCAAAACATAGATATTTTACAGTAAGGTAGTTTATTTCATAAATTCGGAAATCGCTTTCATCGCAATAAACATCTTTAAGATAAGCACTAAGAGATTTTAATCAAATTTTACATAGAAACTCAAAGTATTTCTCGCTCAGCCATGATTATTCCAGGATGCTATTTTCCTTTCTTTTTTTTATATATAAATCACCTCCTTTATTGCATTGCAAACGAACTGCGTATTTAAAAAGTGTGCCTCTGGGCGGATAAAATGAGGAAGAGAGAGAGCAGTGCGTCAACAAAAGTATACTACCGGGTATGTCAGTACATGTATGTTCACCTAGGAATACGATTAGTTTGCCTGCTGATTTTGTTTATTTTGAAACGATGACAGAATGGAATTATTTTTTTCTAGTTTTCATATGTCTATAAATGTTTGTTTTAAACATATGTAATATGAAATATCAAATAATGTTCAAATTAACTCGTTTACAGTTAATGAAATCTTCAGCGCGGAGATCCCCAACAGTGAAATATTACACCTTTACCACAAACTGAAGGTAAAGGTCACATAGAACTCGGAATAAGCGAATGACAGCTATCGAAATTCTATATTTTGTATGATATGCTAAGAATTAAATGAACATACATATCCGATTTACTCTTGTTTATAAAACATACACATACATAAATACTTACCTGTTGTCAATACCGGTAACAACACCGCAACTACCATCCACAGGTAAGAAATATCAAGGTGTGCGAACATTGTCTCAGCACGCGTGTAGCTGTGTCTGTTCTTGCTATCGTGGTCGTTGTAGGTAATGTTGTCGGTGAGGAACACATACTTGATACATCTCGTATGCTGTCCCCAGAAGCACTAAATAGATCTGAATGTACCCTACGAAGTGTAGGGAATAATATCAATACGACATCCGGATTTGAATTAACATAAAACCCTCATCATCGTCGGCGCTACCTGTGTGCGCGTTATTGAACAAACAAGCTACAGGGCTATATATACCGAATACAGTAATCTTTCATGGATTTCATTGATGTGCAATATTTATAGCATTAGAATCATAGTTTATTGGTTTTAGTATCCCAGTCGTAATTTCCATGCTATAATAAATACTAAAATTGGTCTTGAACAAAGTATGAAAACGATTGCTGAGTTTTATTACACAAATCTTGTATTGAATTGAACATTTTTTTCCTCCAGCTTCATCTTCGTTTTTCGTCTTGTGAATTCGTATATAAGTATAGATCAAAGACGTTATGTCAATGTTTTGCTGGATGAATGAATTGTGAGCTCAGATTTTCAAAATAAGAAATATTTTAAAGAATTATAGATTAATATTATTAGTCGTGTATATAGCATACTCTGCGATCGTTACAAATCTTCGAATATATGTGCAAATTTTAACATGTATTTTAATATGTTCGACAGTATTCCAGACGTAGGATTTGAGCTAAAAAATTTCATTAAGCTGACCATGCTTTGAACATTTGGTTCCCATCTCTTTACTTGACATGAAATATTTATCAAAATTGTGTAGAAATTCAATAAATATCGAAGCATAAAGCTTTATACCCTGCAGTAGCTAATTGGTGAAATATTTCTAAAAAAAAAATCATCCTGATTTGTGAGGAAAATGGCTGTTTATTATCACAAATATTTGTTTATGACAAATGTTTTGCTATCATCTAATTTAATTTGACACTGCACATAATCATCCCTGATGTATTGTGAATGTGAGCGAGTTAAATGTATATTTAATCTGGTTATNATAAAATTTTCATTAAGCTGACCATGCTTTGAACATTTGGTTCCCATCTCTTTACTTGACATGAAATATTTATCGAAATGGTGTAGAAATCCAATAAATATCGAAGCAGAAAGCTCTATATACACTGCAGTGGGTAATTCGTGTAATATTTCTTTTTTTGTTTCATCCTGATTTGTGAAAAACATGGCTGTTTATTATCACAAATACTTTTTAATGACACATGTGTTGCTATCATCTAATTTAATTTTACACTGTTCATAATCATCCCTGACGTATTGTAAATTTAAGCTAGTCAAATGTATATTAAATCTGGTTACCTAGGCGACCAAGACCGGTAAGGAGAAACGTAAGACTCACAGAGCATCGATACATACAGCATGCCGAGGTTAGGTCATATATTTCATGGTAGTTTCAGCCGACAATGTCCTTCAAAGGTTGGACCCAACATATATATGACTAGTGGGGGAGAGACTCGCTTTGAAGATCCGAATATTCAAACAAAAGTCACCGAATGTGGTTCTCCTATAAATGACATACAGTACAAAGGTGTAAGGTATGTGTTGTTTCATTAATGTACGCAGTGGTATTTCTATGGGACAAGTTCCAGACCAATGAGCAGTGTGATAAACATGACCACTGCCTGGGATACACACGTGTGTTTTTAATATGTATAAGAGCTTTGCGATGTCATCTTCTTTTCACTTACAGTATGATATTTTTACAAAACAAAAACAAACAAAAAACAAAAAATAAATTGTTTGAAATACATTTATTAACCTTGTCTGAGGAAGACATGATGTTTCCTTTCTTCAAGATAAATCATGCCTCCCATCAAATTTTATCGATGAGGTACGTATAACAACACGATGGTAACATGTACTATTTAGATATTTAAGGATTAACTTGAATATGTTTTTTCATATAATGGAGATATAACACAAAAAAACGGAGTGTACTCTAAATAAACCGCGAAGCGGTTTATGATGAGAGTACACTCCGTTTTTTTGTGATATAGCTCCATAACATGAAAAATATATTCAAGTGAATCCTTATAATTTAATCTACTTTACGCAATCCCTGAGGAAATCCACTTTTAATAATGGACTCTTTTCTTTTAGAAATTATTGCCCTGCTGTATCAGCCAATCAAAAGCGACGGTACAAACGGCGACGTCATTTTTTACGTTATGGGCTGATAACATAATTTTTTAAGCCAATGAAAATGCTTGTTACAAGCAAGATTAAATTATTAGTAGTTATATGAGTAAGCTTTGCAAATTTTGTTCTCAAAAGGCTTTCGATACGTAACAAACCACCTTGTTCCATGATAACCTGTTGTAAGCGCACGTACATTGTTTGTTTCGATGAACGGGGAAAAGGGGAAAAGGTATGAAAAGGCCGATATCTCTGTATATTTGTTTATCAAATCATTGGGAAGGAATCGGATGGAAACTAAGATTGAAGTTATCCTTAAAATATTTTAATAGGTGGACGCAGACAAAGTCGTATCATAATTCCACCTGAAAACATACCCTGGTGTCAAAGCATAAAGATAAAACCTGGGCCCGTATTCATGACACCATGCTCATGCTCAAGCATGGATTCTGTGCTCAAACCTATTGTCTTGTAACTCGGTTAAATCATGTCAAACGATCAAAATGTCAAATGTAAACATCGAGAACAGTTTTCGGTTTGAAGTCTCTTCAATGTTTTTCAAATCATTGACAAAATAATATTTCTTTATGAATTTATAACTTAAACAAGAAATTCGGCTTGAGCACAAATTCCTTGCTTGAGTATGAGAACGGTTTCATGAATACGGGCCCTGAATGTCAAGTCAATACAGAAAACTGAAGAAAGCACGCTGGCTACGAAGGATTCTAGACAAAGCGACCATTATCAATAGAACTGTAGAATGTCTTGTAAATTAAGTAAGTTTTGTACACGTCATAATGTAGTACCTTGGTATAGTGTAGCTGGGGTTTTTAAAGGCATAGTGTTAAATTACATTTCTCCCACAACCACTGTAGGTTTCCTCACTTATGACTCATTGGATAAACCTGCTAGAAGTTGTTAACATTCAACAATTGGGTAACACCTTGGACGTGATTTCATTGGTCAATCTTTGATTTATGACGTAACGTAACAATGCTTTTCGACGTCATTTTCCATTGTGACGCCAGGCAACATGGCAATCGTTTCCCCCATCGGAAACACACATGATGTATTTTCCAAGGGGGAAAATGTGGAGTTGGGGGGGGGGGGGTTCAGATGAAATACGAACATTTTGGGAGTTATAGGTCCCCAAACTCGTGATGACTACTTATCACATTTATCTAACTCTCGTTAGTTAATTTTCAAATTGTAAGAAACACTCTGGCACCTCGTGTCTTCATACAATTTAAAGATTAACTAACTCGAGTTAGATAAACATAATAACCAACCATTACTTGTTGGGCATCCTCGACATCCAGGGGTTACGGTCATTTACGCTCTCTACACTCCTGGAATATGTCATAGCAAAATTGAAGACTTAGTGTGCGCCACCTTGTTGAAGAAGGAAAGTTCGACCCTTTGATGTACATCAAAAGAATCTCGCGATCACGTAACGGTAGCTTTCAAGGCGGGCGTCTCTCCTTTGTAATCTTCAAAGGACAGGTATCAGCCTAGTGATTGTTCAGTGTTTTTTTCCTGAGACCAATCAAATAGCTATCTTCGTGCCTTCAATTTTGCTATGACATATTCCAGGGGTGCAGAGAGCGAAAGTGAGCGTAACCCCTGGATATCGACGATGCTCGTTGGGGAACCTCTATGTATCACATCAACTGCAAACAAAGGCTATTGACTTTAAGACGACATCACATAAGTCAATTAAATTTATTTTGTGAAACACCTAGTGAGAGTTTGAGTAAATTCATGTACCAAAGTTGTCTCCTGATGGTATCCATTTCATTATCACAACGTCCATTTCGTCAATCAAATGGTTATTTGATTGTTAGAAATAGTCGGTGATAGATGATCCTGATATGCGCGTTTAGTCAGTCTTTTCAAATTTTCATCAACTTTCTGATTCTGTTTATTTGGACTGTTACACTTCTTCTGGTTACTATTCTGCTGTCTTCCCTTAACCAGGCTCTTTCTCGGTCGATCAATCGAGATCATAATCAAAAGTGCTCTCCAGCACGCACTGACCAATTCTTGATTTTGTTGGTATGATTTTGGGACGACAATAGTGGAGTTGCTGGAGATTCACCAAACGATTCGTAACAGCTGTTATGACCTTTTAGGGAACTTCTCATTTTAATAGTTCAATGACTCTTGTAGAAGGAACCTCAACAGTCTAATGAGTGTTGGTATCCATCCAGGCGGATTGAATCCTCTCAAAAGTGCGCAACTCATTAAAGCATTTATCATACCAGGTGTTATTTACGGATGTGAACTTTGGGCAAATGCTACGCAGAAGTCCATTGATATGTTAAATAGAACCATGCGGTATGCTGCACGAAGATGCCAGGGTTTTGAGAAAACTTCGTCGTCGGCCATAACTACCAGAGCTATTGACTTACCTGATGATTTATGGTCTGATGTAGAAATCAGAAAACTGTACCTTTGGAACAAACTGTGTAATGCTAAATTANCATATGTAGTAAACCTACTTACTGTTCTCACTGCAATACTTTGGATAAAAACCTTTCGGCTTTTCCCAATCTTTTTTCCTTTGCATCTCGCATGTGACGATATAAACCAACAAAGAATCATGTTCAACATTTAATGAATCACTTCTAAATTCACATGTTTCTGGCTTTGTTTCTAGGGGTATATTTGTCCATATGTTCCGAAATGCTGTCTCCATCTGAGCCTTCGTGGTGATGTTATGTGTCACTTTTTGCAGTTCAAGTTTAATTTTACGCCACATATTTTCAATTATATTTAAATCTTGACTGTGTGTCGGCCATTCCATACGGTACCATGAAGTTGATTTTGTTCCATGTACTCTTTCACAGAATTAGCTGTATGGACCGAAATGATGAGCAATAACTGGCCAAACAAAATTGTCAACTATCTCAATATATTAATATTACCAGTTACAACAGTAACATGGACAGATAGCCAAATGAATGGACAGATCTATTGAAAAGTAATTGAAATGACAAAAACATCAAGTGATCCGGACAAAGGTTGCAAAAAATGAGCGTTAGTCACGAGACTCGGTCACAAAACGCAAGTCTGTCTTACCAGAATATAAACGTTCAGAGAATTTGGAGACCGCAGGTAAAAACTGGAAGTTATTCTCTGAATAAAATATTACACTGTGTTGACGCCAAACCAGTTAGCAAGCAGGACGCCACATGATGTGACATCATACACTGTAATAGACGGAAGCATAAAAAAGGGGAAACTGGTTTGATAGCAGGCCAAGGGACTACCATGAAATGAGTAGTTCAAATGAAATCTCCTTTTTTATTTTCCATTAAAATGTTGAACAGTTTATGTTTGGTCGTGGGTTCACAGTTTATGTGACGAAAATGTCCGCATGGCTAGAATGTACCTATGTAACATCTTATTAGAGAAATGTTTCGTTATTATAGGTAAACACCTCGTATTGTTTCTATAATACTTATCGTCATCTGCTCGATCTAGACCGATGGTCTTTAAGCAAGTATGTGTGCCTTAAAAACATCAGTAAAAATGAAAAAATAATTAATTCCTACTAATAATTGTTTATGTAGTAGCTTCAAAAGTTAACACAGGCTTACAATGTCTATTTCTGATTTATCAAATATTAAAAAATGCAAGTAACTTTTAAAGAGTGGTCTTTTGTCTTTTATATTACTATAAAGAATGAAGGATTTTGATCTGGTAGAAAATACCTCTCAAAATGTTGTGTGCTCCTCTTTAAACCAATCCCTTAATGGATTTACGCAAGGAGCTTCTGTTATTTTAAGTAAAGCATATCCAGCAAAACAGGACTTATTAATTTCTTGAATAAGAAAGTATATTTTCATTAAGAAGCGGAATAGCCTGGCATATAATATGCAGATCTAAGATTATGGAATTTTAATGATTCGTTACATAAATAAGTTCATGTGCATAATTTCCTTGATACACATAAACATGGGTGAAGAGAGTTCATCAAAATCAAAATTGTAGTGTAAATAAATACATGTGGCAATGCCCTTTTATTTGAATTATATGAAAGTATGCCAAACGTTGTAATTTATATAAGCATAATACACAAACTCCGTTTTTTTGGGTGTTTTTTTTATCAAATAATACATTTATGAGATAAAGATGATTTGGAATGTTAAATGGATGCGAGGCACTCGGCTATGATATCCAGTAGATGACCGTTTGTATGGAATGGGCGGGAACAACATTACCGTTTATAGAGCCAATCTCGGCGTCAAAGACGCTTAACGTTACGTCATCGTCGGACCTAGAAAGGAAAACAGTCGATTGTTATTTTGTATTTAAAAGCGTCAGGGTCATGAATTAAACAGTAGCTCTGGAAAATAGATGGGTATTTTTACAGAACGCAAATCCGAATGGTTGGATCGTCTCCAAAGCTGGAAGCATACATTCAATATGGCCCTGACGAAAGGCAAGAGCCCTAAAACATTTTCAAGTGTACTTCATTCTACGGATATGATATTTATGCATCCAGAAACAAAACAAAAAAATAAAGGTAGGTTTGTTTAAGCGTCCGGAAATAGAGAATATGGATTATAAAAATCGGACAAGCGAGGTACATGTTAGTCATTCTCCAAGTTCCCGTTATGTGGTGTGACATAACTTGAATTTGACTTATATCTATTTTGCAACACGGGTGTCGACAACGAAGCAGACGACCCTTACCCTTTTTGACTGAACATTTGGTCTAATTTTCCATTTACTTTTTCAAGACCTTCCGTGTAATTATTTCCTTTGTTCATACTTCGCCCAAGTTTTATCGAATTTGAGTTTGAATTGCTGTTTTGTTCATAAATATTCTCTTGCGGTATTCTCTTGTTATTTTACATCCTAGTGTAACTTCAGGGGGTTACACTCACTTTTGCTCTCTGCACCCTTTCGAATTTTTTATTGCAAAGTTGAAAGCACGCGACTAGTTATTTGATTGGTTGCAGGTAAAACAAATCCTCACTAATCGTCAGGCTGATGCTTTGTGCTTTAATTTACATCAAAGGATCAAACTCGTCTTCTCGACGCATTCACAAGGGGGTCACATTGAGCCTTTGATTTTGCTATGACATATTCCAGGGGTGTAGAGAGCGAAAGTAAGCGTAGCCCCTGGAGTATCGAGGATGGTTATTTAACTGTGTACTTACATGTTTAGCAGTATGATGACGACGGAGTTATCCTGTAGAAGAAATCCCTCACACTTCAGTGCGGTAGAACCATACACAGAGAGAGATATTCTGGTAGAGCCGGGGGGAAGGAATTTACTGCAAAAAAGACAGTACTCGGTTTACAATGTGAAATATGAGGCAAACAAAAAAACAGAAGATTTTGTTAAATTCAGCTTACTAGAAGAAATATGTTTTACTTTCTTTCAGTGGAAATTAAATGTAAATACAAGTGGCTAAATATGAGAGGAAAAGACACAATTATGTTACGTCATCAACAGTAGGTGTCAACGGAGTTAACCTTTTTTCGCGCCATTTTGATGTAACGTCAACCTCTTTTGACATAAATAAAAAAAAAAATGTTGAACACTGTGACACTTCAAGGTAAAGCAAACTTCCGAGTCTTGGGGATCTTGACCGAAACAACACGGATTTAAACCTCAGGTTTCGCGTAATGATTCAGTTAAGATCCAAATCCAACAATTGAAATTTTCGTGATGCGCAAACTTTGTCCATCTCGCCGTAACAAAATGGAATCAGTTCACGTCAGGTTTCTTAGTATTCGAAGCGGAATCCAACTTCTGTTCTGGAAACTTAACTGAAACTGGGGTTTTCGGCTGTGGAATCCTGAATTTATCCTGACTGCGAATTCTGCAACTTGATATTTATGGAGTTGCTATTCTGACTGAAACATGGTTTTCTAAAACCAAACATCTGAGAGAGATTTCAGCTTTCATCAACTGTGTCGATCTAACCGAGCCCCAACTAAAACCTAGGTTTCCGCATCAGAATCTTAGCGGACTTTTAATGTTTCCGCTTCACACTTATCTAAAACCCTATACATTATGTAAATTACATAATAATAATATTAATAATTCGAGGTTATTGTTTACCTCTTTATCACAACCAAGTTTGTAGGTCGTCTCAAAGCGGTTCACAAATTATTATCCGTGGTCATAGGGCCTTTGCAACCAGCCAAATCTTTCTCAACTCCCTGGGGAGCATGCGTGCCTCCATAAATTATACTTTCCTGTATAGAACAATGAAGTTGCCGAACCTCTATTTTGGGGCAGGCTTCTGGTTATTCAGTCTTATATCTTACGTTTGAAATTAGTATTGCTAAGCTTTCTTAATTCATGGCATAGAGGAACTTAAACTTCGGAATTGAACACAACTTTTATGCAAAATACAGGGCCATTGTGAGTACATTTTACATATTTTTAATTTTTTGAAGTTTTTGTCATAGGTCTTCATCCCCATGAGAAACGTGAAAGAACTTCATGTACATGTATATGAAAATTATTTTACATGCACATTGTATAAATGTTTGGTACACAGTTTTACGTGGTTAGGATGGCCAAACTGCTAATTGTCTGTATTTCCAATTGTCCATTAATGAGTTTGAATATAAAATGTGCCCAATGGCCACTACTGATCACCGATACTTCTTAAGTCGAACCATTGAAGATTTTATACTTGCACAAACTTGAACATGATTCTGGTATGGATTGGTAACATCACGGACCATTCAAAGTGAGGCGGAATTACATTGACCTTTCGGGGTCACATTGTTGTTCGTGACGTCATTAACAATCGATTTCATGACACGTCAAAGTCAGCTGGCATCATTGACGTAATTAAAAGTCGCAATACGGGCCTCATTTAAGGATTTACCTGCATTTTGACGGCGTATACGGTAGTATAAGCGCAGTTGGCAACGAACATATTCTATATGTTGTCTGTTAGCGCTCCATAAAGAATATGTTCGTTGCCAACTGCGTTCATACTACCGTAAACGCCGTCAAAACGAAGGTCAATCCTCATACTATTTTAACATCATAAATAATGGTCAAATGCTATACAAAGAAAAAAACATGCGAAGTGGGTCGCTACGATGGTAACTACGGTAGCCGTGGTTGCTAGGATAATATAGTTCCAGTGAATCTACATCGATATATAGGTAAATTTAGAAAATACGCAGTGAACAACACTGTTTTTCTTCTTTTCGTTGCCTTTAAAATCTTAATAAAATGTATTCATTTATAACGGTCGTCATGTACGTGCATTAACACAGTGCTCTGGGAGTGACGCGGTCGAACAGGAAGCCGCCATTGTTTACTTTGCCGTCAAAGAATTTTGAATGTGCATCCCTTTTTTGTATCATCAGACATAATGGACACCGAATATGTTCCATGTTTCTATATGTTGAGTGAACCAAACTATGGCTGTCATCGAACAGTTATCTCGCTGAAGCGAGAACAGTGCCATATTTGAAACATGGTATCAATCTGCCGAGCCTTTTTTGCGTATACACAGTCAGGGTTTACTACACTGAAGATGGACGAGATGTAAATATATGCTAATGAGAACTTTGCGGACGATATATCGTGATTGTACTGTCGCAAATCATTTCAATTGGCCAATCAAATGTTACATCTCAAATGAATCAGATTATCAAGAATTTAAAATTGTATATTTCTATCTCCTCGAAAAATATTTTATCATAAAAATATGCAGTTGGAATGATCTTGATCAACTTTGAGACCTCACCTAAAGTGTCCAAGGGCATAAAACATTGGTTGTTTATAGAATTCATCAGTTTCCGCGTTCACAATAATCGGACTGTCGACAAAATTTCTGACCCAGTTAGGACCGCCTTCCATGTTTAGGGCTATATTCCAATCCGTCCATCCTGTCACCCAGTGTCCAAGGTCCTGGAGACACAAAATGTTCTGTACATGTATCATTGAATAAAATGTCTGCGTGCTTTTCAGAAAAAAACGCATTTCAAAAGAATTTATAAAGTAAGCAATTCTGATAAAAATTCTAATTGTCTATTCAAAGCAATTGTAATCCAATTATTTATTTCGTTTCTATATTAAATGGAAAGCATTTAAAAAATGAAAGCAGTTATTGAGTTCACTATTATTATTAATTTCATAGAAGTTCCGATGTTTCTAAAACAAAGGACACCACTGGAAGCCGTGTCAGACCTGCAGTCATGTCTTCACTGTTGCAAGAAGGAGAGAATGTACCAGCTTCACGAAAATTAAACCAACTGTATGGCCAATTGTAGTCCGAATTTTTCTGACGTTTTATGGACTTTTTTTTATATCAGTCTGGCGTCGATAAAAAACATGGGTTGGTATAGAAAACGTTGGAAAATACTGTTCGGAATGATCTTTGAAACATGTTATTGATACCACCTAGTGCATAAAGAATAGATCTTTCGATCCATGTGCGATATGTGTGTGAAAGTGACGATTTGTTTCTAAAATATCTGTTTGAAGAGCGACCCTGGCGCGGGTCGCTTATTTCCCGCATGTTATAGAGGGCCGGAGTTCTGACGTTAATCGACGCCAGACCGATATTAAAAAAGTCGATAAAACGTCAGAATAATTCAGACTAGGTCAATTGAGACTCCGGAAGCGTGGCAAACGCCTGTTGCTTCCCGAATTTTTGTAATCAAACCGCGAAAGTGACAGTAACAGTAATTAGTAATTGTTTTTAATTATAGTACAACATATTTTTATATTACAAACGATTTCTGTTGGCAGTTTCATTATTGAAATTGACCAACAAAATTGAATGATACATGTCAAATTGTCATCTTGTTCCCTAGATGACTAGTCGTCTTCATGTCATTCATTTAATGATTTTTAATCGCCATCTCCTTCAAATGTCTACTTTGGACGACAAGTAAAACTCATATCGTCCACTTGACAACTGTGATAGACCCCAACTTGTCTCAATTGTCTATTCCGATAACTCATAAAATGGCATCTTGTCCAGAAGACGACCTTATAGCTGTCGTTTCGTCCCCAGATGCCTCCTATTGGGAACAAAAGGAAAATTACAGCTCTACTACTTGAGAACACTTATACCTAACGGACACACGTACAAAACAGTACCTCAAGTATATCCCTGGCGTAGCTTTCCGCTCGGGACCAGTCTCCGAGTCGGACCGCCTTTAATGGAGATCCGGGAATCCCGTCCACACACGCCTCGGTTCCGAATATATACTGTTCTGGAAACTGACCGTGTGTGTCATCAAGGAATGACGGCGGTACCAACCGATCTGTGTACCAATGAACGGCGATACCGGATACGTACTTCTGTGCAGCCGGGTCAGACAGGACCTGGTGAAATTAGAATGAATATCAATCTTTATTGACAGACAAATTTGGATTATTCTTTGATGGAGATACAGCTTATAGCGCTTGAAGCATAAACAAATATAATAATATACATATCCTATCCGGACCATATAGCATACAATGTACTTCATTCTTTGCTGATGATATGAGAAACTATAGGGTATAGTAAAACTTCGCCATACTGCCACCAGCTGTCCAGTGAAATTTTGGCGTTATAAAGGGGTTTAATGATAAATCGAGGGAAAGGTATAAAGGATTTCTAATGGAAACGAGAAAAAAGGACATTAAAATATGTTGGCAGTAAACTACGGGCATTGTATCGAGGTTTGAACCCACATCCCACCATTACCAAGAACAAAACAATCACAAACTGACCCTAACGTGTACCACGTGTTGAGTCATCTTACCACAAAGGTCCAGTAAGGCATCAGGGCTCGCTGTCCGTCCAATATCATCAGATCCACACTACCGTGACCTCGTTCCTCCAATAAGGGGCCAAGATCTTTTATGATAAAGTCTCTTTGTTGCTCGGCGGTCCAGCCCATGGCTTGGAAGGTAAAATTCTTTATCCTCCCATCTGATGGTTCGTTCTGTGCTGTCAATCCCCAAATGGAAATGTTGTGACTCGCATACGCTTCAATAAATCTGGTGGCCAAAAGTATATTTTAATGTAAAATGTTACAGATCTTGTAAGATGTGAAAGTGTTATCTCCCTTTTAGTATAGTGATTTTTTTTATAATGAGTTCAATTTTTAGCCTTTCAAAAGTGTCATTTTTTGTGTACCTTTTTATAAGTGTCACCAGTTCTTGTGTACCTTTCAAATGGGCCATCATTATTGTATGTATACTTTTCAAAAGCGTCATCAATTAGATTGTTCCTTTCCAAATTGTCATCAATTTTTGTGTACCCTTAACAAATGTGTCATCAATTCATTACTGAGAAAACATCACCAAACATTAAAGATGTTTTACATGTTTTTTAGAGCAGAACTCTTTTGGAAAGAAGATTAATGTCACAATGAGGCCAGTAGCATAAATCCTTGAATAACATTTATACATATAAATGCATGTACATTTTAACGAATTATAAATAAATTACGATCAAGCCTTTTCGTGATTGAAAGCGGTGCCTGAAAACGATTAATCAATTGGCTACATAATTGTTGCAGTATATTCGATTTGATAATATAATACTCGCAAAATTTTATGAGATTAAACTTGGGAGAAAATGCATGTATTCTGGATTTGTGTTTTGAAATTTGCTTCTTAAACGTGCGAAGTGCATGCAATAGTTCGTGTAGCTAACAATATGGGATATTTGCTGATCAACTTATAAAATGGCCCCTTTATTTAATTCTATATTTAAGTTGCCATTTACAAGGTGTATCTTTTGGTTTACATTTGGCAAACCAAATCACACATTATACAGGCAGCACTTACTTTGCAAAATACAGGGCCCACGTTTTGAAGTATTTTCCACCAGGTTCACCAATGAGCGACCCTTTCCCTGTCATGGACTGGTCAGTTTTCATCCACGCAGGGGCGCTCCACGGGCTGCCAAACACGCGGACCGGCCGTCCCAGGGACAGGGCTTTCTGCAGGAACGGGATCTGTTTGGAACAAAAGGGGAAATTCATACTTTAGGAATGTCTCTTTCACTATTTGGTTATATATTTTCTGTGTTAGGAGATATTTTTCATAAACATTTCTTTCATTCTTATGTTTATTTATTATGTTTTTATTAGGATTTTTATTATAATTATAATACGTTTTTATTGTGTTTTTTAATATGTTCATATTCAGATATCCACAATGTATTTTTCTTGATGTCACGAATCACAGGAGACATTAATTAAATGAAGCTAAGCCTAGTAGAAAAATTCCAGTAGCACAACCAGTGACATGTTTAAAGTGTTTATACTGTACGTCACGTTTCGATGACTAGGACAACTGTGTACTCTGTCACCGTCATCAGACATACCGTACATACAAAATGTACCGTCCTAGTCATCAAAACGTCACACATAAACGTATAAATGGTTGTGCTACAGGAACCTTTCTACAGTTCACATTTACGAACACGAAGAAAATGTTTAGAAAATTAAGACGAAACAATATATTTTTTCCGTTTTTTATGTATTTCACAATAACTGTTATTCTAAAAAAAATATTGTAGATTAAAGTATATTAAGAAAACGTTTGTATCTGAAGGGAGGGGAAATCACTGACAACTACAAGACAAACAGTGACAAGCGTGTTCCCTCTTGACACCCGTAATTGTATCACCTACATGTGTTTTGGTGACAAAACTTCTAACAAAGAAATATACCTTGTATTTGAGATCTTCTGGTGCTAGAGAAAACTTGGTCAAGTTGAAATCGTTTGCCGTGTCGTCATAGGAGTATTCTCGCGTGGAGAAATCACAGCTCGCCATTGGTACTCTAGCGACATTGTACTCAATACCTGAAATGTCAGAAAGCCATCGCTACTGAGTTGACCATCCTCGACATCCAGGGGTAACGCTCACTTTCGCTCTCTACACCCCTGGAATCATACTCGACATCCAGGGGTTACCCTCACTTTCGCTCTCTACACCCCTGGAATCATCCTCGACATCCAGGGGTTACGCTCACTTTCGCTTTCTGCGCCCCTGGAATCATCCTCGACATTCAGGGGTTACGCTCACTTTCGCTCTCTGCACCCCTGGAATCATCCTCGACATCCAGGGGTTACGCTCACTTTCGCTTTCTGCGCCCCTGGAATCATCCTCGACATTCAGGGGTTACGCTCACTTTCGCTTTCTGCACCCCTGGAATCATACTCGACATCCAGGGGTTACGCTCACTTTCGTTCTCTGCACCCCTGGAATCATCCTGGACATTCAGGAGTTACGCTCACTTCGTTCTCTGCACCCCTGGAATCATCCTCGACATCCAGGGGTTACGCTCACTTTCGCTCTCTGCACCCCTGGAATCATCCTCGACATTCAGGGGTTACGCTCACTTTGCTCTCTGCACAGAGCGAAAGTGAGCGTAACACCTGGATATCGAGGATGACCAAACGGTTAAGCAGTAACTCGAAGATGGTGACTAGACACTAGAAAAAAAATATAAGAACCTTAATTGAAAAGAAAGGTCTCGAAACTCGACTAAGAGTGACTTTCCTTCCTTATACTCATATTTTTGACATCAGCTAAAAACATCAAAATTTTGGTAAACCTGAAACTTGGCCTTTTTCATTTTTTTTATTTTTCTGGAAATAGATATAATAAATCTATTAGATATAATGCATTTTTATCATGAATAATGATATAGTTTAATTTTTTAACTTTATCCTGCCAGTCAAAGAACAAGAAAAACAATTGTTGCGAAAGATTTTCACATAACTGCATACGTTACTTTCACAAACTTTGACAAAAACGGCAAGAAACACGTAAACACGAAGGGAGTAAGTCGGCTGCAGAAACATGTATCAAATTTATTCTTAGGTAGCTCATAATTATCGAGAAAACATGGAGCAAATATTTGTTCTAAAATTTAAGTAGCCAAACCTATAGAAAAATTGAGATACACAAGAAATAAGATCTTTGATTTCATCTGCAAAAGATAGTTTCCATTAAAATGTTATTACTAAAATAAATAGTAACTTTCGATATCAGAAATGAAAACACTTCCATTTGATAATGTTGCCGTGGCAAATCGAAACACTTTCTGACAATGTGTGAATATTTATAATCTCAGAACGGTAATAGAAAAAAAAATAAAAGCAAATAAGGATTTTTGTTTAGGATTGGCAAATGGAATTCTTTACCGCTGGAATGAAAATAAGATCGGAGAAGATTGTCCTGCGCTTTTGTCGACAGACTGTCAATGTTGATCCCAGCGGCGTCAGTGAAAGCCCCTCCAAAGCCTTTGATGTTCTGGTACCTCGTCTGGTTTGTCCGGAAAACGTACAACACAACTGTAACATACGACATTTAGAGAACATTATTAATGAAAAATTGATAAAATCCAAACCTTAGTTGATATCATTGGGTGGGGGTATTAGCGCCCTAAGCCCTTATATGTTTTGGTATATCGTCTGGTAAGTCCATGAAACGCATACCACAACTGGAACATAAGACATTTAGAGAAACTTATTTATGATTTTTTTTTATTAATATCAAAACTTTAGTTGAATTATTGACGAGAGGGGGGAGGGAGTTATATCATATGCGAATGCGAATTGGAGGCGACTTGAAGAGGAACTTTCTGTTTTCAAAATATTTTCCTAATTTCTATACTTCCAGTGAAAAATAAACTGACTTTTTTCTATGTGCATCGGATCAAATTTCCCTGTTGATTTTTTGAAGCGGTCCCCGGCTTGAGTCGACTGGTAGCGGGCAAACGTCTGTCGTGGAAGTCGGGTGTTTGGTTCCACTGTATCGCAGTACGTAGCATTACAGACGCACACGACGGAGCCATGTCCGAAATATCGGGGAGAGCAACTCACATGATCGGCTGAAAAGAAATTAAAAGTTATGTGTATTAGCTTTAAACATTTATATTGCATGAACTCATGAATTCTGGTATTTCGTTAACGTAATGTTCGGATTTCTTTTTGTATTTTTTTTTTTTTCTTGTCAAAACGAAATATTAAATGTAGTAATATATTCAATGTGAAATACCGAATTACATGTAAGGATACTTCCTACACATCAGTTAAATGTTTCAACAAACAGATATTTATATTATATTCAGAGCCTAAGGATGGGGACAAGATAAGCGACAGTTTCGAGGTGTTTTTTTTCATTTTTCCCTAAATACTGCTTACTATAGTTTGATATGTAAGTGGATAACATTCAGCTATGAAATTACGTATATCCCCTACCAGTGCCAAAAACAGTAATTTTGCGATGGGAACTGTTTTTCTCAGCATGGTTAAATTTTAATTCACGAAAAATACACTTTACATGACTTTTATGGTGAGTAAAGCAACATTATTACAAATGTCCAAAAAGAGCCAGACCATGATTTGAACCTCGTATTTCCGTTCATTATACTCTTACTTTAACCACCCGAACTTCATATATACCTGGTCAACGGTAGCACGATGCCCAGTCACGATACGGTTAAATCCAAAATGAAATAAAGGAAAGCTTGCTGTATGTGTTAAAAACTACAGTGGAATTGTCTAATGTAGGACGTGGATCCTTAAGATCACCTTACACCTTATCTAAACCAATAGTTTCAACAAAGTAACGATTATGTGTTTCTTAAAATAATAAATACATACTGTGCAATACTTAAAGTCAGTTTACACGAATAAATAAAAAAAAATATTAACACTTGCATGGCAAGTAAGCTTTCAATTCAAGTGTAATATTTTTACAAATAAAGCATCAAGCAAATTGTCGGTGATTGAACGTATTTTATGTTTATTATGAAGAGTTGTTTCCCTTCAGTCGATACAAACACATGGCTGCGGCCCGAACAATTATAACCATAATTGAGTAAAAGGGGCGATAAGTACAAGGGCGACAACTCTGTTAGCCTTATACGTTTATATCAGACTAGTCTGCTACATTTGTATTATTATTTTAATTTTCTATCTTTCATGATCCATACATTTGTTGCATATATGTAATTGGGTTATATCTTCAGGTATTTTATTCATGTTATGATTTAATGGAAAAAGATTAAGCAGATAAAAAAAAAAACGAAATTTCACTTAAGGTAAATAAAATCATCAAATCAACATGACTTGTTACTATTGTCACTATAACGTAATATTTTATGTCGTTTCTTGTTATATATCTTACAGAATAACATTTTTGGCGAAATTTATAGTATATAAAAATAAACAAAACACAAGATCGGCAGTACTTTCCAATGTTGCTATCCCAGAATTAAAAAAAAATTAACAGCATCAAAATGAGGATAAGTTACGTATACTCTTACTCAGATATAAATATTTGCTTCATTATCTATACAGATAAATAAACACATAAAGAAAACATCGGAAGTGGAACTCTTCTTCGCTATACAATGTATATGCATTAATGGTACCATCTGCCTTAATATTAAAATTTCTTCCAGATAACTTTTTTTCAGGAGTTTTACTGTAAACGTTTGCCCGCGTTTTTCCATTTTTTATTTTATTTTTTTATATTCCCCTATATGACGGTTTGCATTAATTTTGCAAACTAGCTTTTGTTACTCAAAATTCCTTCAAAATTGAAATCGCACAGTCGAAGGTTTAAATCGTCTGGAATATGTATACCCGAGAAATTGCAAATTAACACAAAAATTGGTGACATACAAATACTTAAGTCTCGTGAAATATTTAACGGGCTTACATATTTATGAATCTTACCTTCCACGCTGCAATGCCATAGAAGCACTATACAAACAAATAAAACATTGAAATATACAAACTTAGCGTCCATCACAGCCTGTATATATACAAACACACTACAAACTATTGCCCAAACATGAGGTGATGTTATATCATTTCGTTGTAGTATTTACTTTCGTCAAGATAACACCCCGTATCTATAGCAAGTACCGATAACAGTCATAAACGTATGACATGTTTCACTTCGTTATCATACGACGAGGAGAATACAGGGCTCTGATATCTCTACAATAGTTCAAGGTGTCAGGTCTCTGAGAAAGCCACAGTGTGAATGACAGTAACTTGAACAGAAAGGGGTCTAAGAATTTTAGAAGATACGCCCCTATTCCGTTTCTTTATGCAAAATACTTCATAGAACAATAACACATCAAATACGAAAAAAAGACAATGCAAATTTGTCAGCTTGATGCAGATTTGGCCCCTTTCTGGTAGTGTAATCTCTTATAGCAATCTTGTATGGCGAAAAACATTTGAATGCTTTAAAGTCATAAATATAATGACACGTTTATTCTATAGAACAGTACTGTGTTCAATTACGGAAACAATGTACTTATTCAGATACACGAAAGGAATATACAAACACGCGGAAATAGACCAATATACCACACGAAGATGAATGAATAAAGGATTGTGCTTGTTTTAAAAAAGTGCATGACTTAAACAAAGAAATGCGATATTATTTTTACAGACAAATATTGTTTCACGACGTATGTACCTCTGCACCGGGTACAGACTACAAAATGTATATACAGTATATATATTTATTCGTTTTCAGTACAAAGGATTTGTAAACTATTGATAGCTGTAAATTAACGATATTAAAACATTTAAAAGGTACACCTTTCAAATTGCAACAAAATAATTCCAGTTAGGTTCATGAGTTTATATTTTTTCTCTTTTTAAGTACATTTAATAGTACGCGAAAGTACGTTATACTATTAAGTAGAGAAGAAGATACATCTATACAAGCCCCGGCTTACCATTGATGTCAACTGAGCGAAACTGAGCGAAATGTGCATTGCATAAATTCCATAACTATCAGTTATCTCCCTTCCACTAATAGCAGTGGCGGATGTGACGACATATAGGGTTGGTCTGGTTCTGGTTCTTAATCAGCAACGTCCTTTTGGATATCACGTGGGTTGTTTAGAGTTTTACGTCCTGTCAACAACTAAAGTCATTTTAAGGACACAGGGCGGGCTGAGGATGGTGACGCTACGACTAAAAGCTTTTGTTGTCACAAACAATGGCCACAACTATTTATATAATATTGACATGGTATACTGTATAGTCAGTCTATCATACAATTATTGTCTTTGTTGTAGGGAAACACGTATCTCCGAGACAAACATTTATTCACGACAGCAAAGCACTCCCTGAAATCCCAGCCATCATTGATACTAGTGGAATGTGATACAGTAACTTGTTATTACGGATTTTAAACAAAGATTCGTGTTTTCCTGCAATGAAAGCAACACATATGTTCTTATGCTGAATTCAAAATTAATTAAGTGGTTTTTTTTTTATAAGTATAGTAACACAACTTACTATCTAGTGTGACCACGACTTATTATCTAGTGTGACCACGACTTATTATCTAGTGTGACCACGATTTATTATCTAGTGTGACCAAGACTTATTATCTAGTGTGTCCACAACTTACTATCTAGTGTGACCACGACTTATTATCTAGTGTGACCACGACTTATTATCTAGTGTGACCAAGACTTATTATCTAGTGTGTCCACAACTTATTATCTAGTGTGACCACGATTTATTATCTAGTGTGACCGCAACTTATTATTGAGTGTGACCACAACTTATTATCTAGTGTGACCACGACTTATCATCTAGTGTGACCACGATTTATTATCTAGTGTGACCACGATTTATTATCTAGTGTGACCGCAACTTATTATTGAGTGTGACCACAACTTATTATCTAGTGTGACCACGACTTATCATCTAGTGTGACCACGATTTATTATCTAGTGTGACCACGACTTATTATCTAGTGTGGCCACGACTTATTATCTAGTGTGTCCACAACTTATTATTGAGTGTGACCACAACTTATCATCTAGTGTGACCACGACTTATAATCTAGTGTGACCACAACTTATTATCCAGTGTGACCACGCCTTATTGTCTAGTGTGACCACAACTTATTATATAAAGGGACAACGACTTATTGTCTAGCGTGACCACAACCTATAATCTAGTGAACTCGATCAAAACTGGTTTCCAGACCCAAATAAATATTACACGTTTTCTTTTTCGTATGTAGCAGTTTCACATATAACTCTGTATGTCAAAGTTTTTCCCTATCTCTATGATCACGTGTTATATGTATAGAACAAACTCGGATAAGTAACAATAAGAAGACATATCGTATGTCAAATATGACTATTCATTCCGATAATATGTCGTTTGTATTCGGGTCCCTTCGACTACAGGTAATGTTTGATCAAATTACATATCCAACGAGAGCTGTGTCTAAAAATAGACCATTACCTGTAGTATAATTCTATCGGAACAAATGTATAGTTGCCAAACACCTTATGAATAAAAAGGGAAAAAAAATTAACGATACCTACCTCTTGAATTTCAGCAGAATTTTGAGGTTTTTTTAAATGCTGTGTAAATTGTATAAACAAAAGTTCTGATCTTTCGATAAATACCACTTAAGGGAAAGAAAAAATTAAAGATGTAAGTCAGACAAACTTTTTTTAATCAAAGTGGGCCCATAATAAGTAACTAATTTAAAACTAACTTTCAGTCGATTAACTAGTATCCGCCGCACTGCAGACTGTGATTACGCAGTTTCTTCCAATACGTCTATGTTTGTATACATTGACTACATTCAAAGGCAAGGAAATCCTGGGAAACCTTCATTCAAAAATAGATCTTTCCTAAATACCACACAAAGAAACTACATGGCGCTTGTAAGCTCACAACGCACCGGGAGGGGATATTGAAACAAATCAAAAAGAAACGAAGTTGTTTATCATAAAGATGAACAAAAAACACAAAGAGGTGATTGCGCCTTTAAAATTAGTAATATATATAGTATAGTAATGCCAAAAATGAATTACACTACATCATACAGCTGAACTTACTCATCGTATGTCATTAAGCCATTGTAACACTAAGGCATAACAACAAGAATATTATGACATATTATTGTGTTAATACCAACAATAATAACACGACTGTACAATCGGGAACGGTCGGCACGAGACGGAAAGTGCCGACGGTTCCCGATCGATGTTTGTTTAGAAATATCAAACATTAATTGGAAGCCACAAGTTATCAACAATCTCGGTGACAAAAGCGTTTATTATTAGCTGCCCGAAAAGTTGGAGCGGAATTCTGCATTCGGTCATATCCGGTATCCATCAGATGACAGGGTTTCTTACCGACATCTGAGATCTTATGCAAACGAACAGTCTAGGATTTTATTCATCGCGAGGTTTACCTCTCCTCAGCTACATGTATATCAAGTATCGTAAACGCTGAGTTGCCATGACACAGGTAACATAACTATTAAAGACGTGACGAAATTGTTAAACGTATTTTTATATTGCCATGATAAAATATGGATTGGGTCAAAGTATAGTTTTAAGTAGAAACGATGCCCTCTTCAAATTTCTTGAGCTATGATTTACAGTTTTTGTGACGAAGTCCCCGTGTAAAATTACTCTGAACATATCATTTATGTCCAAATATAGCTGCAACAAATTATCAGGTAACTGTGACTCTGACAAAACAACGGAATGAGTTTGGATGTCCTACATTTTGTTTTGTTATGATCAGCCTCAGGTGAAATGCTTATATTTTAAAAAACTTTTTTGAAAAGAAAAAAAACTTAGATATTTCACTTATTAATGTACTTTTTTGGATGCAACTGAGATTTGGTCCCTGAGGCGTACAGTATATTAGATCCTACTGCGTAGCAACCTGATGAAAAATAGGTCAGTTATTTGCTAATCTAGGGTAACAAAATATGTCATCCAGTTTTTTAAGGACTTTTTGATTCAGTATTTTAGCTTTACTTTAATACGTTAAAAAGATTTATTTTATCTTATAGAAAAAATCAAACATTAAGAAAACATTAACTGAAAAATACACTTTACATCATCATGTCAATAGTACAGCCGACGGATTTTCACCCGTGTGATGCTTGGACAATTTTCTCGTCTAAATTATATACAACTTTCTAAGATTTGCAGTCGAGATAAAATAAATGTGAAAGAAGTTTTACCTCCATTTTTGATGTTCAGTGTTTTGTTGTTTCTAACGTACGAGCTAATCAAATGCACAAAATTACCATAACAAGTGTTTACGTATGCTATTAAATGGTAAACAAAAACTGTTTACACTTACAAATAAGCCATGCATGGCTTGGTTGTTCAAATGTCGTGACGAGATAACTTAACACTTCTAATCGGTAATCAGGTCCTCAATCCTACAGAAATCTAATGTTTAAATGGTTTGCAGGATTCTTTGCTTTTCACAACATTACATGCGATAGTTAAATCGGGGTAAATGTTCGGAACAGCTTTTTAAATCTTGTATCTTACAAGTGAGGATTTCTGAAAGAAATTGAATTAGCATACATGTATTTGTATTTTTTTTCTAATTACTGTACATTGGGGTCGCGGTGGAAAAGTGGTAAAGGCGTCTGACATTCTGCTACCACAGCCTCCACTAGTGGGCGATCGCCAGGTACTGGCCGTACGTCAGTGTTTTTTCTCCGAGAACTCCGGCTTTCCTCTACCACCAAACCTGGCACGCCCTTAAATGACCATAGCTGTTAACGTTGATTGACTTTAAACATATTTTATTAACCAGAATTGGAAAATAGGATTTGGCACAAGTTATTTACAACTAACAGATGATACAGACTGTCAATTACAATTCATAGTAGTATGAAGCGATTTTTAAAGTAACACATACACATACAACAAAAAAACATATTTTAAAGTCAAGTTCATAATCGAAACATGTTAAAATCTTACACTGGGTCTAATAAAAGTTTGCACTTGTTTGAATACATCACAATTTGTATCCAAAGCCAGATTTTCATTTCCAAACAGTAATAATCTCAACGTTAAATGTACATTAAAATGATTTATATGATCAAAAAGTACAGTACGAGCATTTGTATAAGGTTGACATTCAAAGAAGAAGTGATAGGCATTTTCGCAATGGTAGCCACAATTTATACAATTGGAGTCTTGGACCA